TAGGTTTCAGAAAATGTCCTTTTATCCCTGTTTTCAGGGGATGAAAAATATCCTTCGAATATGACTGGTAAATTTTGCCGCAAAAAAATATATAGTTATAATAGCTCGGTAGATAATGGGGCGGCCCCAAAACAGACGGCCGCGGTTCGTATCACGATCATTTACACACTTATTTTTTTACTTTTTTTTTTCTATACCAGATCATTTTCTTTATTTTTTATTTCTTTTATTTCCAAACATATGATTTAACAAAAAAAAACCGAGCAAAGCTCGGTTCTCCAGGTACTTATTATTATACCCCTGATGTTATAACTTTTTTTTTCGTTCTCTTCTAAAGGTTTTTACTCAATTTATACTTTTTTTGTTCAATAGCCTTAGATTACCCTAAGTCTAGTCTAAATTTCTTGAATTTATCTTTCATTTCTTAAGTAAATGTTATTTCAATTTGAAGTAAAGGTAAAAATTGAAATAAAGGAGAAAATGTTAAAGAATGTAAAATGTGAAATAAAGGTACAATTTGAAATAAAGGAGAAAATGTTTGTTTATATTTTTATAACGGTAATAAAATAAAACCTTCAACGCAGATCGAGTAGTGTTGGTTCCATAAGCTAAATGTCCTAGCAAGAAATTTTTTTAAATGAAATATTTTACATATTATTATTAATATTTAACAAACTTTATTATATCTTTTTTGTTATGTAGTATTTTCTTTAGATATTATATTACTTAATTTAATACCAAATGAAAATACTACATAACAAACCATACAAGTCAAGTGTAAATTAGCAAGCTAAATTCTTGTGTGAAAAAGAAAACCTTTAGAATGTTTGAAAATTGATTACATCCTGTCAAAGACGATTGAAAAATATCATGGGTGAGAACTTTCTTTTGTATTAGGTAGACTGGCACCATTTCATACATCACGATAGGCAATGTTAGTTTTGTGTGAGTGAAATAGTTTGAGTAAAAATGTAGCTTGTTTTCAATGAATTTGTACGGTTTGGGTGATGACATGCAAGGTCATTGTTGTGTCTGTTTTATAACGGATTTATTCTATTTTACACTGAATAGGTAGTTTTTCTACTTTTACGAATAATTTCAAGAGCCGACATGTTGAGTTGTGGGGACTGCAAGCTTTGTTTACATTGTGCAACAAATTCCCATTTAGGTTTTTTTTTCTTTATTCAATTTCTTACACTTATCCAATTGTTAATTGAAATTTAGCATGTCTGATGATGATGTTATTTTTGCATGATTTGATGTTATTTATTTTGTAGAATAGGCTGAAGGCATAACATTCAGACAGAAAGACAGATATACATAAAATATGTATATAAATTATGGTCTATGTCTTATTCTGATGTATAAGCTATATTATGGTAAGTTTCATTAAATCCATTCAGTAGTATTTGCATGAAACAGTAACAAACATCCTCCCATACATAAAAACAGAACAGCATAACATAACTCACTGGCATAAAAGGGGAGATCATTTATACAGCGTGTCTTTACCATCGCGACAATAAATGAACACACATATAGAGGATAATATTTAAAATTGTATTAAAGATTTACATTCTTTAAACATCAATATTTAAGGAGTTATCAAAGTTTTCAAAACAAAGAATGTAGAACAGCCCTTACGTATAAAACTTTAATGTAAAGTTCATTTGTAAAGGTCAAAGTATATGAATGGGTTGAATGAATTTAAAAGAGACTAAACATACTGTTAGAAGGAGAGGCTTGTAATGCGGCACTGTGGCAACGAATGAAAAAGTCTCTGAATTTATGAATCAGTCAGATGCAGTTGTATAGGATTTTTTGTTTCTTTTTTACTTAATTAGTTTGTTTAAAATTAGTTTATCAAAAATTTTACTCAAAGATGGCAACATGGAAATATGTCTGTAGTTTCCTTGATCATTCTTATCACCACTTTTGAAAACGGAGATTATCTTGCTAAATTTCATAAGATCTGGAAATATTACAGAATCTAAACATTTATTAAAAATATATGCCAAATGCGGCGCAATATATGTCATTATTGTGGTCATTAATTTAAAGGACGTGCCCCATAAATCTCCTGTATTTTAAAGATTAATGGAATTCAAAACTTTCATAATATCATTAGTATCTATGTGATTAAAACACGTGTGTCGACAAAAGGTAACATTATTTTTAATACATAAATTGCATCTATGGGTTAGGATTTTAACATGCATGTGACATGAACTGCAATTTCCGAAAATAGCTTTCGAAACTACTTACAATTTCGTTCTCTGAAGTTATGGAAGTATGACCTATCACTAGCTTTATAGTTTCCCTGTATATCTTAGGTCTTCCAGGTATGCGGGTAATGATGTTCCACGTGGCTTTTATTATATGGCTTGAATTTAATATTCTCTTTCTTTTATAAATAGATTTTCCATGAATATAGACTGGTTTTTAATATTTTTAAAAATGTTTGTATACGTTTGTACCGTTTGTACCTTAATTGTGAATTAATTCATACATACGTAATAGTCTCTGGCTATCTAGAGGCTCTCTATCAGGTCGAGTAGGGTACGTGAATAGGCCAACCTTCTGCGCTGTAATCTCTTATGACTAATTCAAAAAATGTTGTTTTCTGTTGCTGCGTCTCTGCGAAAGTGTCTTTCGAGCTTCTTTGTAGGATTTCGAAGTCTCATAAGAACGCGCTAGCGTCTATGTGAGTAAAGATATCTTACTATTTATTGTCATTTAATCATTGCACTCAACGTTATCTCTCAAAGGGGTTATGGCTACTTATTTCACGAAACTACTCGTGCTCAAGTCCTTTGAATCATAATCATGTTACATAGCTTACAACATTCCTAAACAAATCGGTTATAAAAACAAAAAAAAAACAATTTGACTGGCAGTTCCAAAGATCACATTCAAACTAAAAAAAAAAAAATATTCGTTTGTAATTACCTAAGTCTAGTAGTAAACGTAGTAACTTACGGTGGTAGGGCCACGCAGCAGCCTCGGCCGTTGCTTGAAAGAACCTCGCAGAAGACCGGCGTAAAGTGGGAGTATAATACTTTCGCGTTCCATCTGGTGAGTGAGGTGGCCGGGGCCCAATTTCCAAAAGGTTGTCAACGCATCTGGAACCCTCGGATTTAGCAGATGTCCATGGGCGGCGGTATTCACTTAACATCAGGTGAACCGTCTGCTCGCTTGGCAACTTTTCACATAAAAAACGTAGTGTATAATATTATATTTACTTCGCCATATGGGAAGGAAAAAATAAAACAATGCGTCAATCCCACATAATAGAGAATTATTTTAATGTCATTCTATGTTTAATAGGTCGACAGTACTGAAAAAATAAATAATATTATTTTCATCTTTCATTACGAGCCATAGCATTATTGAGTAGATGATACTCCGAAATATTATATTAGTTAGCTGTATTAGATCTTTAGAAGACATATTTACAAAATACGTGCTGCATTCACATTGCGTTTGAAAGAGGGTATTCTTGCGCAATTAAATAGTACTAAGAGTTTACTTTAGTAAATTCGGTATGTCGGTATACCATTTGTAAATTTTGTCGATGAACGGTTCGAATTAGAATTCTGTTCAATTCGCAATGTAAATGAAACCTCTACGTTATATATTTACAAATCGAAATTGAATTATTAACTCTAAGAAACTCAAATAAAGTCGTTACATTTTTTTGTGAAATCGTGTATACATTAGCTCAAAATATTAACAGATTGTTAGAAATACAAAAAAAGATACCACGCAGTGGCACTGGTAAACAATACTCTACGGCGGTAGAGCCACGCGGCAGTCTCGGCTGTTGCACGAATCGGCAGGCTCGTCCGGGTAAGTACCACGACCTCGCAGAAGACTGGCGTAAAGTGGAAGTTTAATACTTTAGCGTTTTGTCCGGTGAGTGAGGTAGCCGGAGCTCAATTTTCAAAAAGGTTGTCAACGTATCTGCAAGCCCTCGGGTGTAGCAGATGTCCATGGGTGGTGGTATTCACTTAACATCAGGTGAACCGTCTGCTCGTTTGGCAACTACTCACATAAAAAAAATACACATTATCGGTCAACATTATATTAGTTATTTTCTACAAACATTTTTGTGTCTTTTATTTGTAAGCATTTCAGTTATTATTAATATATTACCTTAATTTGCAATACTTATTATGAAGCTAATTAGAAAATGTTGAAAGCTTTTTAAATACACTTCTCAGAAGAACAATAACCAGTTCTTGAATTTAAACAATGTCTACAATTTTAGATCTAAACATGAATTAAAAAAATTCCATATCACAGTACACCATATACAAAAGATGTTCAATGTTTGCTTGGAAAAACTTTTTCTATGCAGTCTGTATAGATGTAAATATTATGACCCGAGAAGAAGAACAAACACATCAGGAAACTAATGCCAAGACCAAAAGAAAACTTTAAGCATCGTTGATAACACTGAAAATTATCGAAAAGGGAAGGACATAGTAAAATATTTCACTGTTGATATTTTTTTTAACTTAATCTTAATTTCTTTCATATACTTGATAATACTGTAACAAGCAAGGCAATGATAGGCTCAGTCACGCTTACTCATCCAATGAAACAATTGATTGTAATCGTGTTTTGCGTGATCCTCTTTTCAACTTATTATTTAATCCTAAAGGCGACATAGCTATCCACAACGATTTTAAAGTTTGTAATTTAAAGCCCTCGGTATATTACTGACACCACACAGGTTGTTTCTGGTCATATTTTTCTATTATAATTTGCTTATTTAATATTTATAAAGTGCTCTTTGTAATTAGAATCGACCGGTGGTAGTATTATTCATGCAGGGTTTTTTTTTAAATTAGCAGGAAATGTAATACTTTATTTAATGTGTAAAAGTATACTGTTTCATAGTGTTCATTGGTTCTTCACTCAAAGTCCGTGTAAAATCTCAATGTGAAAGCTTGCCATGTTACTGAAGAGATGAAAGTTTATCTTCCATAGGTTTATTCAATGTAAATATCCTCTACAGGGTAAGCTGTCTCAATAAATTTTTGATAGAATCTCTGGAAAGCCCTCCTGTAATTAAAAATAAATCGGTTAAAATAATAGATTTATGATAAGAGAAATGCTTACATTTCATTTACTTTAAATTATTTTGTTTTTACAACATTTATTATTTAAACATTTTACCGCTCTTCAATCCATTTTAAGCCTATGTATTCAGTTAATGTTTTATAACAGAATCTAAATTGTAAATTTTAGCGGACACGGACATCGAAAGTACCATGGTGTTGTAAGGTAACTACTGTTCATAGTTCTCTATGGACGACGGTATAAATCTACCATTAGGTAAAATTGTTTAAAATTGCTTTTCAGTATCTCTCATAAAAGCACCTTGTTTTGAGTCTTATAAAAGTCATAATCTTAGGTGCTCACCCCACAGCTTCGGCGACAGGCCTCGTAGATTCTTGTCCTCGAAAAACGTGACATGCGAACCGTTGTAATGTCGGATGTTTAGTAATGAATCCAAGGTATCGATGATCACGCGGGTGGAAGGCGCAGAAAGACACATTCTTCAGTGAGTAAAAGTAGTCAATGCACGGTCCGTTTCGAGTTTTCTGTTGGTAGCATTGAAAATAGAATAAGTATTTAAACTAAGATTTTTTCAAGTTATACTTTGTCAGCGCGTTTGGGAAAAATGATGATAGTGATTTTATACGATTTGCGAAAATACGACTGACATCAACTTTTACCCAATAACAAATTTTTGACATTTACCTATAATTCCAAGATATTAAATCAAACCTTTATCAATTGCATTACATTTAACGTTTTTTGTTACGCTAAAGAAGTATAATATAAATTCTTACATGCGGTACATGAGTGTGCAAACACGGTTTTTAATCACCTTTTTAGTTTTCATATAAAAATCTTTAATTCTTGTACATAAGCTTCTTGTATTTCAATTCTTTTATATATAAAGTCTTTACTTTATATAAAAATAGTTTATATAAATAATTTTACCAGCCTATACAAGTCCCACCGCTGGGCAAAGGCCTCCTCCGTATGTAGGTTATTGGGGCAAAGTCCGCCATTGAACTTATTGCGGACTGGCAGACTTCATATCATATCTTTGAAATATTTTATTTGTTATTATTTCGAAAATGTGCAGGATTCCTCGCGATGTTTTCCCTAACCGCTGAGCCCGTGATAATTAAACAGATAAAATTAACTATTACGTTTTGAACACAGGTTGCCCAAGTTTTTGGATTAAAAGCGATATTAAACCTCGATAAAGAGCTTGTAAATAAAATAAAACTTGAAGTTTTAAAAACCCCAATGCCATCGACTGGCGCCCTCGATTAAATTCGATAATCCTTTAAACTGAAGCGCTACAAAATACAGCGTCTGTTTGTGTGCACTTACGAGTAACTCCAATTCAAATACAGTTCGTATGTTTTAACCAGAACTTTTAATAATTAATATATAATACCATGACACTTAACTATTATTTTTTACTGATGATTTCTTGTTCTTTGGTAAATTTATAAATATTATAAAAGTGAGGTGACATTGACACACCTGAGGTTTTGAACGATCAACCATGCGAAGACCTTGATCAGAAACTTCTAAAATACATGGCTGTGCTCCAGGTTCACCGTTGCATTCTCCAACAATTTTCTTCACAGCTTGACACACGACTCCCGTGCCCTTATGGGCCAAAGTTTCTACAGAACCCATGTACCTGATTAACATAAAAATAAATTAGACAGATAAATTTTATTTAATTATAATCACTATTATTACGTACCCCAACAGATATCTCTCCCGTTTGATTTTAGCATTAGCTGGATCAAAGTCGTTATACTCCATATCTACCGCATAAGCGGATGGAAAGATACCTTGTTGCCCGGTCCTTAGATTGACACCTGAAAAGTTTTTAAAGAAAATCGTGTTTTATTATTCACTTTAGAGTAACTTGGACTTATATTTGTTTTTACATCTTCCAGACCTTCACACCATAAATCTTCTGCTTCTTTTTGAACGTAAATTGGATCACCAATTTCCACCTCAAGCTCGTCGTGATGTCTTGGATTGAATTTGTGTAGGCCCCTGTGAGTCGCTTCTAGCATCTCTAGTTGACTGTGGGGAACTGTTGTTATATTTCCTGAGTAGTTAATGCCGCTGATGCTGCAACTTGACGTCGGTGATACTGCAAATATTATCTTTGTTTTATATCATTGCATAGGTTAAAGCTGGGATCCAAACAAAAGCGCATTAGTCAATAAACGAAAAGATACGCAATGCTGTTCGAAGCGAACATATTAAAGTATGAAACAAATATATTTCTTATGACACGCAGTAACATGCAACAGAGCAAAAGGCTGTTAAATATCAGTGTACTGCAAATTGTATGCAAGCGTGGCTTACATGGCGTAATAATTTTTATTTTAGAACGGCCTATTCTTGAACTTTATGCATTGAAAATTGTGTTCTCTATTAGCGTGAAGCATAAAAATAAATATGGTTATTATATACCCCAATTTGAAGAAAATTGTAAAGCATCCACGAATTGCACTGAAATTAGTATAGTAGGTCTAAACATAAGGAACAGACTGAGGTATCTACAATTAGATTGACATATGAATCGATTACAAAACGGTAACATAACGCACCATTTTGTTGGAGTGGTGTCGGTGATAAACTCTTTGGGCCGGTATCTATAGGCGAATGAGCCGTGCTATGCCCACTGTCCACATCGCCGAGGCTTTGGAGCCGTTCCGAATCGGGGCTGGAGTCTTCGTCTAGAAGGTATCCGCATTTGAGAACTAAGAGAGGTCGGCTTTGACATCCCGGTCGGATTAACACTCCTGCAAGTGCACCTAATTCGTCGGCCAAGGAAGCTGGTTGGTTGCAAGCGACGACGTTAGCTGTAAATAATATTAGATTATTTTGTAAATGGTCGTAATCGATTCAATCGTTAGTATTTTAATGTGGCTAAATGATTTTGTTGTTGCATTGTATTATACGTTTCGAATCCTACAACCTATCTATATATACCTAAGAATTACTCTCAACTATTCCTGTCTCTTTAGTTTAGAAAATTAATTTTCTGCTCATGCTGGGTGCTTATGTTTTCAACTTTATATTAATGTTCTAGCTTGCTAAATGATTGATGAAGTTTCAGTAAAACATATAATTAATAATAAATATAATATATATGTGTAATAGTTTATTGAACCATGACTTTAATAATTTATGCAAAAAACATGATTTAGATTTGTTTTATAATAGCTGTGCACCGTCAAGCCGAAGATTAAGTCAAGATTTCTTTGAATCGTGCTAATAATCTTTTTTGTTATACTTTTTTATAAATATGAATGTTTTATATTCGGAATTATGGCGCTAAAAGTCTTGAATGAATAAATATAAATTTATTTAGCTTATATCGGTGAAAACATGTAATTGGCTGTCTTTTTATTATCTTGTTTTCTCATTTATGTTGTATAAGCTGTCGGTTTTCCATAAAACAAATTGAATAAATAAAATGACAGTTAAAATTAAATTAAGAATATAAATAATATGATAATAACATATTTTCCTAAAAACGTGACAAAAAGTTGGAATTAACTTTCATACATTTATAATAAAATTATTCTTGTGAAAATTTGTTAAAACTGTTCTTTTCTTAAACAATTGTAGATGTTTAAATGCGTAAATGACATATTAAAAAGTAAATATAAAGATTTTAAAGCAACTAATAAATTAAATATGGTGGCCTATGACCATATTATACCCTCTGTAAAGACCTTTGCCAACCAGAGGCTTTTACTTTACACTTTTTACATGAAACTTATTCCATTGATTTTTTTGTTACTTGTTCAGTTAATATGCACACCTTTCGAGTGAGGAAAGTAATTTAATACTACAAATAAGTATGTTTAATAAATAAATACTCCCATAGAACCATAATACTAATTAATTATGCCTTATGTCGACGCAGGCAAATTCATTACTAGCTAAAAATACATTCAAATCGTTGTATCAAATGGGGCACAAGAGATATAATTCTAAATTATTGATCTAAAATACGTCTTCTTAATTGTGGGACCATAAAACTGTATTTTACAAACATGTCCATATTATCAGCAATAACTTCTTGAATAAGTGACATACCCCAAGAAATGTTAAATACTGATATGTAAAAAAAAATAATATTTAAAACATCTATTAGAGACTAGACAAAATGAATAGACTAACACTTTAAAATCGCAACTGCATCATGTATGAAGATGAAGTATAGGTGTACACATGTCAGTCGCATAGCGCAGATGCAAAATGTCAAAATAGGAATACAATCGCTAGTTACCCATTTGACCTTTATCTTAGCCCCGTAAATATTAAGCAAACAGAGAAACCCATCTTTAAAAATGCTTACGAGCTATTGTGCATTGACTTACATTTTCTATTCTTCGGGATTTCCGGAAGTTTCCTGCGCTTCCTCTCGCCATTATTAAAACTTTGATGTCTAGGGCTGTCTTGGGCGTCCGTTACATCTCCTTGGTTTGGGGGTGATGCTTCAGCCCCCTCTCCTGCGTCACCAGTGTCTGCATCGCCAACGCTGCCTTTATCTTCCTCTGGCGAACCGTCGCTCTTGGATGAAGGGGACTCATCTTCCAAGCCGACATTTGGCACTAACCTTGAATTAAACATAAAAGCAAACCTAGGTAGCACTCCATACGAGCTGCTCTCGAAGTAGCCCAGGCCGTTTTTAATATATATTTTAACGCGACAAGGCGATCCAAACAATTAAGAAAAGGTAACACGGCAGGAGCTCATAAATTTGCAAAAAAATTATGGAAGAACCTTAACTTACGAGTAAAACGATGACGGGGCCTTGATATGTTGGGGTAATTTATCGAATACTCGACGAAATTCTTCAAATTCGCTGTCAGCCATGTCGCTATTACACCTAAAATTTGGGTAGAAAGAGTGCCGCATGCGCGACGCTCTGCCCCTTGCCGTTATCGACCGAGTCGCGGGGGTCCTATCAAATATCCGCCGCCCCGCGCATGCCTCAGTTACTTGCGCGCGCAACTTCCAACCCCCTGTAGTTACACAGTTTCGCACAACGAAAAGTATACACTACATGCGATGCCATATTTTATGAATCAGCGGAAAATCCGTCAAAATGAAACTCGAGTTACGTCCGTTAGCTGTCAACTTTATTGCTTTTCGCCCATTTCATGAATGAAGTAAGAGAAGTTTAAAATTTTGTTGAATAGTGTTGAAATATAACTGCCGGCATAGAAGCCCAGTATTATATGGTATAGTGACTTTCAAAAATTGCAAATGCTCTTAATTTTGATCGCGATTAATAGCTGAGTAAATTATGAACAAAAGTTCATAATTTACACGAATTTTTTTATGTCAAAAGTTCCCAAGTGAGCAGGCGGTTCACCTGATGTTAAGTGAATATCGCCAGTTATAGACATTTTGAAGATTGGGCTCCGGCTACTTTACTCTGTGAGGTCGTGGTACTTTCCCGGACGAACCTGCCCATTCATGCAACAGCCGAGGCTGCTGCGTGACCCTACCACAGCTGTTGTTGAAAGGATATCCTTTCGTCAAAAATATACACATCAAAAATGTCTGAGCAACACTTAATATTTCAAAGTGATGTTGCTTTTAAAGAATATTTAAATTTGGTTCACCTTGGGCTTTTCCCACTTTTCCTACCTTTTATAGAGAAAAAAGGGGGCCCTTTTTTCTTCAAAACAAACTTCCATTCAAAACGTCATCTCTTAACTATTTAGGAGATGACGTATTTCAACTGCCGCTATAACAAAAAATGCTCCAAACTAGAATAAAAATATTTAAGTGTGGCTCCCATACAATGGACATGATTTTATTGTCCGAAAATGGTACGAAATCCTTCATACGCGAGTCCGACTCACACTTGGCTGGTTTTATTAGGTATCGCTGTGCGCGCGCATCGTATAAATTTTACGGTCACATTTTTTCCAAATGAGCCAAAAGAAGTTTTACTTCAAAAATCTAACGAAATTGTAACAAGAGTTAACAATGTTTTTACGTCTTCAACACAATTCAATACGAAAAAAAAAATGTTTAAATGACTACGATATTTTAATAACGCAAAAATACTTTTGGGGTTAGAATCAATAAATAATTCGATTTATGCCTGTTTCTTATACAGCAACGAGGCGTCACCGAGAGTTTTATGTACAATTATACTACATTGAAGTACACCTATGCAATAATAGTACACATAACTAGAATCATACTACATTGCATGGTTATATTCTTTTCCGCCAAGATAAAAATATTTAGTTTCACATTAAGTTAAAGTAACTTAATGTGAAACTAAATATTATTAAAAAACTAGCTGACTCGGTAAACGCTGTTTTGCCACATAAATTATTTCTAGGGCAATCGGAACGCACGCATAAAGTGTCTGTCAGGTTACACAGACATACTTGTTACACAGATATAAAATTGTTGCTATTTATTATTTCCATGTAATTTTTCCATAATTTCTCATCGTTTAAACCTTCTCTGGACTGCCACAAATATTTCAAAATCAAAATTAGCTAAATCGGTCCAGCCGTTCTCGAGTTTTAGCGAGACTAACGAACAGCAATCAATTTTTATATATAAGATAATGAAACTAAAATACATATAAGAATTATAAAAAACTGCAATTATTGATTTGATACCTAATCTTTGTTTGAGTACTAACTAATTGTTGTGTAAAATGAAACGTCAATGAGTGTGTTCTGAACAGAATAATCTGTTTAAATAAAACATAATATTTTAAATAATAAAAAAAAAAAAAAAACTGAATCAAAGAAGAATATTCGTAATGTTTTTAAGACCTCATCAGCAAGTTTCGATCAAGTACGATTTGCCCATGCTCCTTTCTGAATTATTTAAAATTTTCATATCGTTACTTTTTACAATTCATTTTCAGATTAAAAGAAAATAACTGTGGCACTCGGGGACAGCCGCGGTAAAGGTATTGCATAGCGTTTTTATCAAATTATGCAATTATGATTTATTTTTTATTTTTTATTGCAGTATTTTTTCTTTGATATTAATTCAAGTTACAATTTTTTTCCTTCAAAATATTTTTATTATCTTACAATACATGTAGGTTATTCAGGAATTTTTATCATTGAAACTATAGGTTTATAGTAACTGAAATAAGAAACATAAGTTTGAGACTTGATATCCCCTAAGCATCATATCATCATATGATATTATAATATTATAATATCATATTACAATACCCATCCGTGCGAGCTTCGTACAGACGTACCATATACATACACGTTAAGCGAACGATTATAGTATACCTATTATTATTATTATCTATGTTACAACATTATTATCCGATATGTATCACGATACCGTGTGGAAAATTCAAATTTAAATGTTACTTTTTCAATTGGTAATTGTGAATTTTCAACTTTAAATGTTGATAATAGGTCAATAAAGCTAAATCCTTGAAATGAACGCTAAACATTAAACTAAATCACTGCTGTTTTATAATTCCATATTTGAACAAGCAGACGCCTATTCATCCAAAGGATACTCGCCATTGCACGAACTGAGAGCAGAATCAACAAACTAAGACGCCTTACTGTCGTTCGCATGCGGCCTGACCGCTCCCCGAAGCACACTCCAGCTTAATGTCTGTTTCCTTTATTTGAAAAGTATAAAGAAAATGCGTATAAATAAGCAAATATAATTTATGATAGTCTTTTAAATCTTTTCAAAAGTTTGAAAATTTTTCAGGCCGTTTAGTGGTAATATAATTACATCAACTATTTGTCTTTTATGATGTGCTCAATACTTTTGAAATTCATTGTTTGTTTGGTCCTAAGTTTCCAAGCAATCGATCTACGTCATTCGGTGTCCACACAGCTTATTAGAGACATCTTATCTTTATTTTAAAGTACTTTTTCAATAGAAAAAGAAAATTGGTTACACTCTGTCCAGTGACGTATACTTTTCATATTGACTGTAGCGTCATAGAGATATTCTAACTGTGGTAGGGCCACAATGTTGCAAGAATGAGCAGGTCCGTCCGGGAAAGTACCACGACCTCACAGAAGATCAGCGTAAGTTGAAGTATTACAATTCTGCGTTAAATCTGATGAGTGAGGTAGCCCACTTTATTTAAAGGTGGCAATGCATATGCAACCCTACCGTTGTTGCAAATGTCAATGGGCGGTGATTATCACGTAACATCAGGTGAACCGCCAGCTTGTTTGCCACTTTCTCACATAAAAAAAGTTAAATATCATGAAAATGACCTAGAAAGTAAGGATAAGGATATGCAGATTCCTCACGATCAGTTTCTTCACGTTTTTTTTATAGTTTTTATTTATCAGTTGTTGTTATAACAGCAACAAAAATATATCGTCTGTGTCAGTCAAAAATATATAATTTCTACTTTCTAACTATCACGATCGAATAAGATGAATACAGAATATCGGCAGTCGGATAGTTGTTAGGTAAATTGTTTTCAAATATTTTTACCAATGAAGTTATTTTACAGTTTTATTTGACATGATATGTAACAAAACATATCGTTCAGCGTCTATATTTTCACTTATAAATTATACATTGAAGTGAAAATTAGTACAATTCTTAAAATAGGACAAGAAATATTAAAAAATATCCACATACATATATTTGGCACACCGGACACATGATTTTTCACATTATATCACCTATTTTTTTACATTACATAATATTATAGTTTTGTTCAGCGACCATGAAACACACGTACGTACCGTACGTAATTATTCGTGTATCCTATATTAACTGGTGTTTTTGCTTTCAGTCCCGAGACTATTAAAGCTTCATCTGACGCAGACCGGTGGGCTAGCTAGAAGCCACGGGTTGGGCCCTCCGCAAATGGCTCGCATGTGCTCATGTGCTCATGCGTGCATTTAACTATGGTGTGTCATCTAAGGGCCATCGAGGTCGCGGTTCGGACCAAAACCCCGATGGCCGTCGACTGTGCAATTAGCTAATCGATGGCTGGGAGCGGTGAGAACCGCCCCAGAACGCGGGTGTACCTTGTGTACGCGTTGTGTTGGTCTCGCCGTGCTCGATTTCTAGTGTGTTTGTTATTACACTAACTGTGGTTGTAGTGTTATCCGGCGGGACTCCCGGCGGTGGCTTCGGCGTATCTAAGTCTCATTCTTCGACCGGGTCGATGAGGACGTTTCGCGGGCGATGCTTGTCGTCGTTCGCGTTTGTATCGGGTTGGTAATTTGATGCGCTTACCACCAGAGGGTCGGGATGATGCTGGACTCTATCGAAGAACCGTTTGGTCAGATCTTTAAAATGTGCGCCAATCGTCGGGAATCTGCAATCGCTGTGCACGTCTGATATCACTGCGCACCGGTTGCGCGGCGGATAAACTTATTTTGAACTACTTGCAACTTATTAACAAGCGAATAGGGTTTGTGTGAGCGAAGATCATGTATGCGTAGGACGATTGGCCGTACGCAAGCTTTATATAACAGTAATTTGTGCCTTAAGGGCATTTTACTGTTGTCAATAGTTAAATTGTGTAGGCAGCCGCAGAAGAACACGGCTCTATTTCGGATGTTGTTAATGTGCGTAGTGAAAGACATACACGAGTCGGAAGTAACTCCTAAATATTTGACTATTTTTTTCCCAGGGGAGCGGTTGGCCATAGAGTGATATTTGCCCCAACTTTCTGTAAAGGCGAGGACCTTTGTAACGGTGTGGCGGGTGGGGGTTGGGGTACTACGCGTGAAGTTAATCGCCACACTTTCCGATTCTCCATTTGTGGAACTAATCGCCGAGGCGGTTGGCGGCGCTTTGAAGCCGAGTGGTTAATTGACTAAGCTTGCGGTCTGAATAAAAGAGCGTTGTGCCATCTACGAAAAGCGCGAGATTGACGTTTTGTATGTCTTTTAGTATGTCGCTCGTGTAGAGCGTAAAGAGCAAAAGTGAGATGCAGGTGCCTTGTGGAACGCCAGGCATGACGAAAAAAAAATAACGTGAAATCTTAAATGACGATCTCGAAAGAATTGCAGCTTGGTAAGATTCGAATGCATTAGTCTCTAATGGAAGCAAGTCTAAATATATGATTCTAGGTACGGCTCAGCAAATACAAATAATAGCAAATCACGAAGCTAAGTTAACCATAAGGAGCCAACGAATTGAACGCGTGACTGAGGCCGCCAATTTGGGTTTGTTAATAGATGACAAGTTACGCTTTGAAAGTCACATAATAAATACTGCAAGAACATACCTTTATAGGTTAAAAGTATTATATCAAATTAGAAATTGCCTAAATACGGATATGCTGATAAGACTGTGCGATTCTTTGATTCTGTCTAAATAATTATATGGATATAGTGTATGGCCCTCGTTTGCTTGTGCGTAGCAAGAAACTTGTCCAGAGGGTGCAGAATGCTTGTGCAAGATTTTGTTTTAAAATACCTCCACACCTTCACGCCACGCCGTACATAAACGAGTACAATATTTTAAAAACGCAGTATCGGCGAGAACACCACCTAGCCACATTTCTATTTATATTAATTAAATATAATGCACCACCTTATCTTTATCATAAATTAGTGTGGTCGCGAGACGTACAATCAAAGATCACGCGCCCGTCATGTTACTCTTTGGTATTTCCCTACCATCGTACCATCGCCTTTCCTGGAAGTTTCAAATATTCTACCTCTAAATGCAGCAATAACCTGCAGCCACCGCTTCGTAGTCTGAAAACATTAAATACATTTAAAATAAGATAAAAAACTCACCTATTATTGTTCAAAAAGCTATGGCTTGATATTGGTCAGTCGATGGCGCGATTGGTTGCATTTTCTGTCTAATTAGAAGTCGCAGGTCGGGCGGAAAAACCCCTGTAAACAGTCCCCGAATGGTCGCTCGGAGACTTACCACTACCTGCGCCCAGGCTTTAACGATGGGTGCACGCGGGAATAAATTTCGCGGGCGCAGATTTGGGCAACATTGTTTTCACGAAAGCTTTTATCGCGGGAGCTTTTGGAGCCTTAGCGCAGCGTCTGTCTTCTATAACTTTTCTTCACTTTTCACTCTTGAATCTTCTCTCTTGAGGCTTCCCTAACCGTAGACCGCGAAACACGTCAACGATGTGGCAAGCAGTGCAAACCAAGAAAGAAAAAAGATAAAAGCAACAACAGTTGCAAGATGGCTTCCGGGTCGGGTGGCATGGCCCTCCGGCTCAAATTTACGTTCGTTCCGTGTGGAATCACTAAAACCTGTCATAATTATTGCGGTTTTTTTATTTATGTGCGACCAAGTAGTAGACAGCTTGCAATACAGATTCATACCGATTATTGCTCTCTCACTCCCTCTCTTCTTCTCTCTGTCTCTCTCTTTGTCGTGGTGCATTTTCTTTTCATCCAATTTCAAATAACAACTTCAAAATGTTATTATTGCTTCGTCAAAATGTCATTATCGCTTGCTATGGCAATTAGTTTAAAAGCGACCAACTTCATGGCTACCATTCACGACTATTAATGTCCGCGCGCATCGTAAATATTTTATTCTTATATTTTTTTTCAAACGCGCCAAAAGAAGTGTGTCTTTCAATATGCAGGTATCCGTATTTTTTGTTTAAAAAGTGTAAAAAAAGACAGAGGATTTTCTTGGAAATCGAGCGATACTAAATAAAACATTAAAAGATTCGATAAAAAAAAATAAAAGCGATATGGGTTTCCAATGTGTCTATTTAGGACTTGCCGTGTTTAACATTATTTACGGTAAGATTACACAGTCATAAATGATTTCTTGTACTCATTGTAATTAATTATATCAAATTCATGAACCTAATAACAGAAGAAATGACGTTAGTATAATATATTTTTACTAAATCGATTTAAGAGAAACGACGGTGTGATAAAATACGTTGACGTTTCTGCTTTGATTGGCATGGAGGCGGACGGGGGGAGATAGACGTGTAATAACAAACGTCTATTCGTTGCAAATCTCAAAGGCGCGCGGGGATGTCTCATAGGAAATTGAATTAAAAGCTCTGTCTGTAATCAAGATAGGACGATTTAATTATCCATCGAGCCTGGCTTATTTATGATTTGATTGGCTCAGTTTGCCTCTCTTGAAACGGCCAGACAACTTATTATTGACAATGTTAATCGTTATTAGTTGTAAACACTTTAGTACTACAGCAGTACGTGGAGTTAATATGTGCCATTTGCTCTAGATAAACCCTTGCTTCTCTATGTTAATCAAATTAATTTCTTATTTTTTCGTGGGTGGTATAGTCAAAAAAGGTAAAGCTAAATTAAAAAAATATATATTTTACTACGTTTAAGCAACGTACGAACGTCTATGTACGGCGGGATACAAGGTAAAATAGTAAAGGATTAAAAATAGTAGGTATATCAAAAGTAATGCTTTGGTATTTATCTACTTCAAGGGTCCTCCTTATTTTATACGTAAGTTTATGATTCTGTCAACTTTGTTAAAGTATGAGGTCAATGGATGTGAAGTATAATTTTCACTTATGCTTGGATATTATGTTCAGATATGAAAAAAAACGGAATTTTAATGTAATATTCTTTGCGATCAATTGTGTTTAATATTTTAGGTGGGTACAGTTACTACCAAATGATATATTTAAGCCCGTAAATCTTACAACATGACGTGTCTGTTGATATATCAAATAGTAAAAGACTATTTCATATTATTATAGTGTGAAATATATATGGGTATTTAACGTTTGTCAGAGCTATAACTCTTAAGCTAGGTTAGCCGTTACTTTTTGCCAGATGCATGTAATTGTCTGGGCGGTTGCCAAACGCGGTCCGGAAAAAAGGTGATATACGACCGGAGGAAATATGGTGTTTGCGAAAGCCATTTGGTATGTCGAATTAAATAAGCAATCACCTTTATAGTGTTACGAAAATCGATTCAGGATATTGATTCGACATTTGTTTTAGTGCTATGCTATATTAGAATATAGTATGTAGACTACCACACATATACATATATTAATATTTATTTTATAGTTATTTTCTATTTCGTTTTGGGAGGTTTCTAATTCTTATTTGAACTATCCTTTCTCAATACATGTAATATATGAGCAATGAGATTGGTGGATTTCTTTATACCCTCTCCTCTTCACGTGGGCAAAATCTGATAACGCCCTCATGTTAACTTGGAATGACTATCACAAAAGACTTGTCTTAATGTCCTTGCCGTTACTTGTTCACGCATCGTTAAGTTATTATTGTACTTTAGTAACAAAGGCTGGAAAAGTGACGTGGGCTTTAAAATTAGTTAAACATGCAGCTACATAATCCAAGAAAGAAAAGATCTTTAGAATTATTACTATTTTCATTCAATAATTTCTTTCAACATATACGAAATTCACGAACACGTTGCGTACAAGTTTATGTTGGATATTTAAATTTTTATAGTGCTATTATCTGTACTTAAACATGAAAATTTGTAAAAAACGGAATGAATCCCATCACAACTTATCCACAGCGACCAAATACTTACAATGCTTTACTTAGCATGCGCCTACATTGGAAACGTAGGCAAAATTGCATTTACGTCGTCAACCTATATAGTTTTTCATGGTATTATTGTTGAAAGAGATAACAATCATTTAACAAATTCTAAAAAAATTTACTCATAAGATTTTCTTCTCTTACATGAAAAGAGTTTTAAACCACATTAATTAAATGTTTAAAGAGCGAAATAATTACTCTTTCATGTATCAATATCACGACATGCAAAGTTAAAACCACAAATTTATGCAATCGAAAACCTGACCTCATTTTGTAAAGTATCATTTGAGAAAGTTTCACACTAAATATAATATTAGGTCATAAAATAATCATTCAATTTTTGATTGTACTAAATGTCGTGTACTAAATATCTTTTACATGGCTTTTCTTTGACTTTTATATAAGATAAAAATAAAGGGCAAGGTCTTCCGTATAATGAATGACGAGGGATGCTTCTTTCACTAAACAATGGTAATAAATACAGTGACTCGAGCGTTTAACACCCGTAAGCCAACGACTATAGGTTGTTTCTCCCTGCCTTTATTCAATGATTTAAGTTGTGTGTGCACACGTGAGCTTAGTAATATAGCATTGAATGAAACAGTCTTTCTTGCTCGCTCTATTTCGATTTTCGTTAATATTTCACTAATCTGTTATGTTTGATGATTTTTCAGAAACTGTTTTTTTTTTTCTTTAAATTTGTCAATGTTTTTGACCCGTCATCAAAGAACAATTTTGCACAATATAAAATTTGTGGAGTAAAGTAGTTAGAGACTTGATAAATAAATTCCTATATTTTTTGATTATCAATAAATAATAGTCATATCTCCTATCGATAACAGATAAATAATACTTGTCTTATTTTTTATTGTCTCCTTATTTTACCATTCGGCACAATGTGTCCACGTCTTAAAGATCTGAAAAGATTTCCAAGTTACACCGAACACTTGATTCAGCCAATCAAATATACTCACCCTCCGGCAAGTCTCCCGCGCCTCTTCTCTTTATAAAGGGGCCTGCGGAGCAATTGTAGCACAGTTTGTCTCCATCCTTGCACCGACGCGTCTCTCGCTCACTCCTGCTACGTTGATACACATTGAGATAAAGACAGAGTCTTTATCATTTTTAATCTTAAAGTGCAACTTTCTCAATTTCTGAGATGAGTGGTTCTGGTAAAGGCCTACTTGGCCTTTGGTTGTATAGAAACGGATCTGATTGGGAAATGAAAGATGAGCTACAACAGACCAGGCTCGAAGAGAGTCATAATCAAAAGGCACTGCAACATGAAAGCGAGAAGATTTCAGTCATTTTTACTTTAAAAAATCAAATTGGTGGGCTTGTAAAGGTCCTATCGGTCTTCCAAGACTTGGGCATAAACGTGCTCCATATTGAATCTAGAAAATCTGTGACGGAGATATCGGCAGTAAGTGTTATTGGATCGTTATTTTAATAATTTTTATACTTATTCAAGAATATTTAATAAGCGTGAAAAAATTATACAAACATGGGTTTTAACACTAGAGTAGCTCTCGAAAATGGTTAAGGACAAGATAACTGTCCCTTATTTTTGCAGTGGTAGGGCCACGCAGCAGCCTCGGCTGTTGTACGAATGGGGAGGCTCGTCCGGGTAAGTACCACGACCTCACAGAAGACCAGCGTAAAGTGGAAGTATAATACTTTCGCGTTTCGTATGGTGAGTGAGGTAGCCGGTGCCAATTGTCAAAAGGTTGTCAACGCATTTGCAACCCTCGGGTGTAGCAGATGTCCATGGGCGGCAGTATTCACTTATCATCAGGTAAACCGCCTGCTCGCTTGGCAACTTGTCACATAAAAAAAAATCAGTTATTCTGTTAAAAGTAATCTTTAAAAACTCTTAAACATCCTTGAGCTTTTATAAAGTTACTCTTATTATATACTACTATCCAATGTTGTTGTTTTTAGTCTGATATTCTGGTGGACGTTGAGTGTGATCCTCGCATAATGGAACAATTGAAACGCATGCTTAAAAGGGAAGTGCAGCAGTTCGAAGTTATTGGACCACAAGTTGGGGAGGAATTTCCACCCTCAACGCCGCTATCTGCTGCTACCAGCTTCGGTGATTAAAAAATTATAAATGACTTGATTTAACCGTGGCTGCATTTGTGGCGATAACTTTTTAAATGTTCATTTTACTATTATGTTTTCACGCATACATCTACCATGTATATTTAGGCATAGCTCTAACGAAGTTCCAGAATGGCATGAACAGTAGAATTTAAGGTATGCACATTCGAAAAGACACAATGATGTGCTTTGCTTACAGATTGTGGCAATGTTGGTCTAAATAGGAAACTTCCTATTTTTTTTTGCTATTACGCGTTTCACGTATGAAAACTACTCGTGGAAAGCTTTATCTACGTAAAGCATGAAGTAATTTTTATAAACCTAGTTTCTTTTCTTAGATTTCGGTGAAATGCCATGGTTTCCGCGGAAAATTTCTGAACTTGACCGGGCGCAAAATGTGCTCATGTACGGCTCGGAACTGGATGCTGATCATCCCGGTTTTAAAGATCCTGTCTACCGAAAGCGTCGAGAACATTTCGCTGCGATTGCAAACAACTATAAATAGTGAGTACAAATTATTTAATTCACTCCGAGGTTCAGGCTAGGCGCCCCGAGCGCCCGGCCACCTCAAGCCCGTCGGATCTGTAAAGGCCCCTAAGGTCAACAGTGGCTTATCCAGCCAAAAAAAGTTAATTTACTTTTACCAGACAATCTTACAATGAGTTAATTAAACCAAAATAATCTTCATAGATTTTATCACAAAGTTTATTGTCTGTCCCATGTACAATTCTAGGCTTGGAACCTATGGTAGAGGGATTTGTACTTGGAACAATGGGAGTCATAACAATTAATGTTATTTTATTATTTATCGCGCATTAGTAGTGTTGATATTTTAAAATATTATTTCAGTGGCCAGCCTATCCCAAGAGTACAGTACACAGAAACAGAGATCAAGACATGGTAATGTTTTTTATTCGTTTAATTATTAACATGATTATTTAAATTATAGCATTTGCTTTCATTATTGTTCCTTTGAATTTTTGAATATTCATACGCTAGTATCAAATGGTTGTAACAAATATTTATAACTGGGCTGCGTAAAAGTCTTCGCTGTTTCACGAATGAACAGGTCCATCCGGGAAGTACACTGACCTCCCAGAAGACGGGCGTGAGTGCCCATGTGGTGCGTGAGGTAAAGGAGACCTATGTATTAAAAAGTGGCAACGCATTTGCAAACCTCTCATTACTGCAAATATCCAATTCTCTTGCTATCTTGTTAGATGAAAAATATTTTTTGATGCTTTTGTTTAAGTACATTATTTTCAGACTCATCGTCACACAAAGAAAAGGCCTTTTACTTATTTATTTTTATACATATATAGAAATAAATTCAAGTCATTAAACCTCGTGTTAGAGCCGTTACCAAATACAGTGCCAAAATAGCGGGTTTTAACATAACATTAAATTACTATTAATTTCAGTATTACCTCACCATTAAGTATGTTCAGGATTTACACATTCTTTTCTTTTCTTGTACCTACTATGTAACAGTTTTGTGAGTGTTGAGTTTTCGAAAAATACTAACGCTCTCAAACAAATATCTGATTAGAATTGTACAATGTTAAAAACATGTAACTAGAATAGTTAAAACATGGAATTAGGTACTGCATAATCTTTCTATATGTATCCGTTAGAATTATCAATTTCAATCAAAGCTATTCTACCAAAAAAAATCAGTTTCTGATCTTGCACATTAAAATTTTCCACAGTAACTTCCATTGGGCTTAAATACTTTACAGGGCTAAAATACGTGTGCATTTTATATAAAGTGTACATAGTTTATGTATTTTTGATTAGTGACTTGGTGTTTTCGTAGAGCTACTATATATTGATGTTCGCATTTGTTTATATTTTGTTTTAGTTTTTGGTAGTAGTTTTTTTTTTTGTTCACTGCTTTATACTTATAGATGTAAATTCTTATTAGTTATTATTGTCCTTGAAATAATATACCCGCTTTTTATTAATGTTAGTCTAGTTTGTTATTTATAATTTTAATTTTTAGTGTGACCTGAATATCGGTAAATCGTACCGACTACATTCCTATTTGGTTTCATGTCATTGATAAATATTGCTTTAATTGTTAACATAACTGTGTTTGTTGAAATTAAATAAATATTCATTGATTCATAGGTCTTCTTATTTAATAATGTAATGATCTGTATCCCACCCATTTGTTATATTTTAAAGGCCATTTTCAAAATTTTTATCTATAGTATTAGGGAGCTAATGTGAAATACCTATCTGTTACCAAATCTACAGATAGATAGAATATTGAAAAACGTCCGGTTAACATTTTGCTAAGATATCAACTATCCATAATATCTTTTTCTTCTGAATAGTTATTTTTTCGCAATTTGTTACGTATGTTTTGTATGTGTTATAAGTAAACTAAGTTAATATAGCCATTTATGTTGCTAATTGCGTAATTTTTTTGAAGGGGCATCGTTTTTCGTGAATTACACAAACTATACCAGAAGCACGCTTGCGCAGAGTATCTTGAAAATTGGCCCCAACTCGTTAAATATTGCGGCTACAGGGAAGACAACTTACCTCAGGTATACTAGAAAGTTGCAAATTTAGTTACGAAACTAGTTTAGACGGTGTTTGCAATAATTAGGATTGTTTCCAAGAGTAATAGCACATTAAAGCTGAATTCGATTCTTGTAAAGGTCAATTTGTGTATCTGAGAGTACTTTGATCGATACACTTGCAAAGTTATGGTAAGTTTACTATTAGATTTCCCCTTCGCCTACACGTCAACGTTAGTGTATAAGATTAGTTTTTACTAAATTTTATTTCATCATATATATATAATATATATATTGGTTATAAACATTTATTGCGGTCCGTCCATAAACAAATTATTCATCTTCATTAGCCGTGATAGTTCATTGTCTTGGCTCTCGCTTTTAATTCAATATACACAAGCAACCTGAATTCGATCGAAGGTGGTGGCACCAGTAAAATTGTTAATTTTAAGTGCTGACTTATCACGTGCTTATCGGCCAAGGAAAAAATCGTCAGGAAACCTCAAAGATATGAAGTCCGCCAATCCTCAGTGGAGCCACGTGGTGGACTATGCTCTAATACCGTCCGTACAGTGGACGTCTTTGCTCAGCAGAGGGATATATACGTTACTTATCGTCTACCCTCATAATATTAAGTTAAGAAATACTTATAATAGTAGTTCGTTACTCGAAGTTTAGGAGAAGTTCGACTGCTTGTTAAATACGAATATAATGTTAAACCAATTAAAATGTTATGTTACAGCTGGAGGATGTGAGCGTATTTCTTAAACGTAAGACTGGATTTCAACTGCGCCCAGTCGCGGGTTACCTGTCCCCCAGGGATTTCCTTTCTGGTCTTGCCTTTCGTGTCTTTCATTGCACCCAGTACATACGCCATTCATCTGATCCTTTTTACACACCAGAGCCGTAAGTAACAGACACAATATTGAATTATAATATTACAGACTTAAAAAGTCAAGTAATTAATACGACGAATCCAACACTCATGAATGTACATGGTGTACACTCATAAGCAAATAAATAAGCAGAAAATTCGACTCACGCCGTACACTTGCTGTCAAATATTCTCGGTATTCATTTGTTGCTCCGATTTATTTTTTGACTACTATAGTAGATTAAAGGTAAAGATTTTTGCTTTAAAATTATTATCCAATTCATATTAATAAATTCTTTTTCATTCATTCAAAATCATCTTCGTCATCATTAATTCAGCCTGTTGGAGTTCACGGCTGAACATAGGCTTCACTCATACGCACTGCCACGAAGCATAGGTAACTGGTTAGTTAGTGCTCCGTGATATGTGCGGTTGCACATTTGCAAAAATACACAATCTAGTGGGAGATTGTCTTAAACTGCGATAGCCATTACGAGCTACCACTCGAGAAACTTCCTTACCCGGCACATTGCTAATTCTGCGTACTTATCTTCTGATTAACGTCGGTTATATATGTTCTACTGCGGATATCTTCGTTGCGAACAGAGAAGACTTTGAGATTCCTCATACAACCAGAAGTGAAGGACGACGTCTTAGTTTGTAGGTCATCTATGGCAAAACATATTTATTTCACACTTCAGTACTTCTGCAAACACACAGGAATATTCGGCAGAAGTATCTACCAAGTTTCTCTAACGCTGCGCATGCAAGAGTTGTTCTTCCGATAGAAGTTGGACTTATCTTATTGGAGTAACAGTCCTTGGTAATCAAACTCGTCACCAACTTCGAGCACAGTGCTTCCAATAACCACCAATAGAGGCATAATATTTATATTAGGACATTCATCTTCATCATCATCATTGTCATCATCATCATTTCAGCCTGTTTGAGTCCACTTTGAGTAGCCTTCTTACACAAACACCTTAGAACCTCGTTATACTGACAGTCAATTTGGCACGGCCGAAGGGTTCTCGAGTACCGCGCAAATTTCAAAAGAATCGAAAGCTTTCTAATATTCCTCACACGCGAGGCATAAAGGCAGATTATATTCTGTAGAAGCCGCGCACACTAGATACACTTGCATTCCAGGGCGGTTATCATCGCCCTCAGCCACCGACTAATCAAGCACAGTCAACGGCCATCGGGGTCACGGTCCGCGCCGACCCTCGATGGCCCATAGACGACATGCCATAATTAACTCACGCATGAATACAAGCGCGGTTCTAGCCGCTGAGGAGGGCCTCAAACCCGTGGGGTCTGGCTAGCCCACCGGTTCTGCGTTCGATGAAGTTTTAATCGGACTACAGACTCAGCATCAACAAACACCATAGTTCGTCCTCGCCTTTGAGCACGGTGAAGCCGCGCACACTAGATACACTTGCATTCCAGGGCGGTTATCATCGCCCTCAGCCACCGACTGAAAGGAAAAGCATAACATCACATTCAAATGATCACTTATACAAATACAAATACAAAATCTTTCATAAAAGAATCAGATAATGTTTGAAAAACTTTCTTCATTCTTCGATATACAGCGTGTCGCGACAATAAATGAACACACATATAGGGGATAATTTTTTAAAGTTGTATTAAACATTTAAATTCTTTAAACATCAATATTTACAGAGTTATTAAATTTTTTTAAAGTTGTATTAAACAAAACAAAGAATTTTAGAACACCCTTACCTATAAAAGCGTAACGTAAAGTTAATTTGTAAAGGTCACAAAGCATATGAATGAGTTGAATGAATTTAAAATTTGAAGACGTGTGTTCATTTATTGTCGCGATGGTAACGACACGCTGTATAATTAAATTAACGTTTATTGCTCATAGTAATTTTCCAAGTAATATATAAGACGGACTTGATGTGGTTTGTCTCTTTTAATATAGGAGTAATTTAAATCCGTTTGAACACGTACATTAGTAACCGACATTTTTGAGTCAATGTCTTTTCTTAGTTCCATAACTTTCAAACTTTGTAAATAAACATTATAACTCAGATAATTTCATTCCTAACACTCATATTAAATTTTTGTGTCATTATGGAATTACTGTTTACAGAGATTGCTGTCATGAACTTCTTGGTCATATGCCTTTACTGGCTAATCCAAGTTTTGCCCAGTTCTCTCAAGAGTTAGGACTGGCATCACTTGGCGCTTCTGACGAGGATATCGATAAATTAGCGACGGTAAAGTTGTCTTATTTAGTTTTTCTTAGTTTTAATTCTAAACAATCAAAAATTTTACGCTAATACACAAAAATATGATTTTTGTGTTTTTTTGATAGGTTCATAGGAATCACATGGTCATAATAAATAAAAAAAGTGTTAGACTTTTTCAAGAATCGTATTTGCTTATGGGAATCCAAGTATCAACACGTAATACGGGATAGAGTTATTATTAACTAGCTGCTGCCCGCGACCACGTCTGCTTAGTATAGGCTGAAGGCGTAACATTCAAACAGAAAGACAGATATATATAAAAATATGTATATAAATTATAGCTTACGTGTTATTCTGATGTATAAGCTATATTATTGTAAAGTTTCATTAAAATCAAAGTAAACGAAGAGTAACAAAGAGTAACAAATATCCATCCATACATACAAACTTTCGCCTTTATAATATTAGTAAGGATAGTTTTTTTTTTTTATGTGAAAAGTTGCCAAACGGACAGACGGTTCACCTGATGTTAAGTGAATACCGCCGACCATGGACATCTGCTACACCCGAGAGTTACAGATGCGTTGACAACCTTTTGAAAATTGGGCTCCGGCTACCTCACTCACCATACGAAACGCGAAAGTATTTGTCATACTTCCACTTTACGCTGGTCTTCTATGAGGTCGTGGCACTTACCCGGACGGGCTTGCCCATTCGTGCAACAGACGAGGCTGCTGCGTGGCCCTACCACCGAAAAAAAGGATAGTAAGGATAGTCAAGTTAATTGGCTAATATTAAGCTACTTCATTATTATTTTTAGCCAATTAAAGTAGCCTTTAGACAATTTGTAGAATAGGTACCTATTACCATACGTTTACAATTCTATAAATAAATTAAAGATCTGGATCAGAAAAAGTACTTGATTAATATTTATATCAAATTATATCATCGATAAAAAGTCATTGTAAAATATTATATTTTATTAGCTTACGTTGTATTTATTTCTCGTAGGAAACACTGACAGTTAAAAACTAAATTAGCTAATATTATAATGTTCTTATCGTATAAACGTGAAATGAAATATGTAGTAACGGAAAATCTTTCAAGGTTGGCATACATCGTTTTTATCTTAAACATTGAGAAATCACTGGTGAAGTGTAAATTGTGTTGGAAGAAAGAATGTATCGTTTATACAATCAATCAAGTGGACTTTGTACAGATCTCAAAAATGTTGATTTATTTTAGTTCGTAGGCAGACTCTGTTTCAAAGACATACAAAATAGTAACTGATAATATCTAGATGAAAGATACGTCTTATCTACTCGTAGAATGAAAAGTGCAAACACGGTAAATGTAAAAGAAAATTAAGTTGTCCCGTAGACGGGACGAAGAGCCTCAGTAGAGATTTTATTTTGTGGTCCGCAAAATTATTTTAAGTATTTTTAAATTAGTTTAATATCATTTGATCATTTACTTAATATATTTTTCCTTAAATATTTAATATAAATTTAAATTAATTTTATGATTAATTTGAGACTTAATCTTTTTTTCATTTTCCCTGCTAATAATTTTATTTTAACATATTTCAGCTTTATTTCTTTACTGTGGAATTTGGGCTTTGTCGTCAATTTGATGGTTCATTCCGAGTATACGGTGCTGGCTTGTTATCGTCGGTCGCCGAATTGCAACACGCTCTCGCAAACCCTGAAAAAATTAAACGTTTCGACCCTGATGTTACCGTCAACGAAGAGTGCATTATTACATCGTATCAAAATGCTTATTACTACACAGACTCCTTTGAAGAAGCTAAGGAAAAAATGAGGTGAATTTTACACGTCTTGTACTTGAAATGTTTTGGAGTAGTGTACGCAATTGGTTTTTTTTTATTTTGGTATTATTTTTCTATTATTATAGAGCTTTCGCTGAAAGCATACAACGACCGTTTGGAGTTCGTTACAACCCGTACACTCAAAGCGTAGAAGTTCTTAGCAACGCGCAGAAGATAACGGCATTGGTACGCGAGCTGCGCGGTGATATTTGTATTGTCTCATCGGCTATTAAGAAAATTTCAGCCCAGGATTCTACGCTGGATGTAGAAACTATTGCAAATTTGCTGCATACAGGCCTTCAGGTAAAGATTAAGATTTTTATGCATTACAGGTTTTGTGTTAAGACCCTTTTTTACGAATGTAGATCAACTCGATATATTTAATTTTATGTTATGTAAGAATAACAACCTCATAAGAAAAAATTGTTCAAATCATAATATTATAACAAATCATAATATTATACATTTCAAAAACTAAATGTACCCTTTGCCGGGATAAATAGTGAACCGAGTAGATAGTATAAAGATATAGACCGTCAGATCGCGATGTCTTACAAAATGTATGTTCTTATGTCACACCTTAAATAAAAAGCAAGGTCATTACGATATTGAAAATATAAACGCGTATTTAACAGTTTATCTATATGTTGTAAGTGAAATGTACGATGCCGTTTAGACGAAATTGGAATATAACGAATTATACCTTCGCACGTTCCAATATCGAGAGTTCAAGTGACGTCATCACGGTTGTCTATTAATAAAATTATCGGCGATGACTAACGATGTGAGCACAAATTTAGCGATTGGATACTTCGATTATGCATGTTAAATGCGCGTGAAATTTACAATGTCCGTACACGAAATTTCGGTTACAATATTAGCGTTATGAACAACGACTGTTTTCAGTAGTCCGCAGTTCATTACAAGTCCTATTGGTGAATCCACTTTAATGCTTCGAAAACTTTTCTAAGATGTTTGCATAATATAATACTAGGAGATTTTTATTTTGATTTGATAAACTTTGAATTTGATTTGTTTTGTCATTGATGGTATTATTTAATCATTCAGGTGAGTGAAAGGAGCCCTCAGAGTACATCAGGTAACAGCTCACCCAACTCAGATCATAGTGTCGCGGCACCAAAAATTCACAGGCAGGCTTAAATATGGGATGTTTTTTTAAATAATATTTGTTGCCCTTTAACAAAATTTTAAGTCGTTGTTCTACCTGTTGTCAAAAGTGTTTTATAAATATTCAAATGTTACACTGTCGCATATTAGAATCTTTTAAAATTTTACATACTTAATATAATGATATTACGATAGGATTTTATTTAAAATTTGACAGACTTTACGCTTTGGATATGAAAGAAAATTTCTTATTAACTTGGAACAGTCTTGATACTTTTCCTTATAATACCTATACGATGGTATTTACTGATATGATAGTAGAGATACGTACTTTACGATAATCGCTTATAAGCTTCGTATGTGTGTGTATATTTAAAATAACTATGTTAAAAATCAATACTTATCAACGGAACGTAATTATCTGGTAACTTCAGTAACGATATGAGATCGTGATGTAGTAGTTCTTCTTTTTTCGAATATATTGACGTAAATTGGCGCTAAATCAAAATGTTTTACAAGGAATACATTTGTAATTATGAAAACAGAGTAACACGTGCATAAATACGTCGAAGAAGATTGTTACACTATTTTATTTTATATATTTTCATTGTGAGAGACATATCAATACTATTTTGTCTTTACGTAATATTGATCAATTGAAATCAAGGAGATTATTTGCATTGTCAATGAACTATATCATAAGTCAACTATTATTATAACTGCATATATCAGAATTCCATTTTACCTTCAAATTAGTAATTCGTGCGTATAGCGGACACAGATGGATGTTGACAATGACTAGAGACGAAATTGCACCAAGGTCGAGAGCGTAGTACATTTGCCAACAGTTGGTCACTCGCTACAGATATTTGCCTATGCAAAGACACATTGGCCAAATATGCCAGTGGTCAGCCACACGTGCCAGAGATTGTGCAGTTATCAATAGTAAACGTTTGGTTACTTTATGCTTTTCCTATAATTCATAAATAATAAATAATTATGTATCGTGTGTATTGTATGCCAACCTGAGGAATTTAAATTCTATGACATTTTGCGGCTATAGTAAAATGTAGAATCTAATGTATCGAATTGTACTTTACTAGCATTGTGAAGATTATAGTTTAAACCAAATAAATCTTAATAGTTTTAAACATAATCATCGGTTGTTTTCTTTTACCTCATAGCTGGCACCTGGTACCTCATTTTACTAGGTGGTAATTTATTATTCTTATACCTTGTGCGTGGTTCTAAATGGTTTTATTCTATCATCTCTTGTCATAATGTAGTCGAATAACGTGCATTTATAACTCACACTGAATACGTGTCTGTTAAAAACCAAAATATTTAAATCAAATAAGTAATAGAGAAAGAAATACAGATAATCTATTTATAATTTTTAAATAAGCACATCAGTAATCAAACTGAATATAAACTGGATAAATATATTAACTGTTCTTTATATGTGGGAGCTCTTTCACCGAACGCCCGTAAAACATTTGTCTAAGACTTTTGCTAAGAATAAACATCAAATTCAATTCAGAAGAAAAAAATTCTATTTTGTAAATACATTTAAAGAAAAGGTAATGAAAGTAAAAGCCTTAATATGAGTAAAAAAAAGAATGGGTGATCTGATTAATCTTGAGATAAAACTCGTTTTATGATATATTAAAACCCATAAAACAAAAATATCCTTAAATCCAAATTTGTCTAAACCAGTGTGAAAGATTTCCTTTGAGTAAAAAAAACAAGAACACAAATAAGTATATAAGCAATAAAATTACATATTTATTAATAAATACAAATTTTACTAAAGTAATATACAAATAATATTTGATTAATTTCTAATTCAAATTAATTTTTGAGATAATGCAAAGTTATTATTCTCATATATCCGGTTTACGATCAAGAGATGATAATTATATAATATTCCTAATATTAACTACCTTTGAATATTATTTTTGGTGTTCTAAATCTGCTACTGGTACTTTTGAAAGTTTGTTTAATATAGAAAATAAAATACGATGTTTTGCAGATTAAACAAATATATTTTGGAACACGCCCAGCTTGCACAATGTAAAATATTAGTAGGAAAAAATGAAATCATGAAATAGCCGCCGTAGGTTTGGGTGTATCTTAAGAGATTTTTAAAGTACGGGAACGGTTTAGGCATAATGCCAAAACTCGTAGTATTAATTTTTAAACAAAAATAATACGCGGGGAACGCATTATATGAAGTTGATAGGCATAATGATAGAGTACCAAAACTCAATGGATATGTGGATTCAATTTTTTAAACAAAAATATATATTAGCTAAAAAACTTACTAACAGCTAAATTATGCTACTTGTTTTAAAGTAAATTAAGACTTCACTTTTTTCTGGAACTAGACAGTCTAAGAGCTTTTTGCGATATAATAAAATATACTATTTTTAGTATCTACTGTTAATCGCTAAGTTTTGGGCCGGTATGATATGATTTGTTATCGACACGTAAAGAAGAAGATATATTGTTTATCAACTGCCATTATTGTATTTCGTACAGAAAATAATACCAATATCATTATTAATAGAATCAACATTAATTTTTAATTCTGTTCACGGTAGTCTGAATTAAATTTAAATTACCAAGGGCTCTTCAGAGTTAAAAAAAAATATCTGCAGCATTTATTGGCCCCATTTCGTCGTAACCTGTAACGAATTATAAAGTGATACTAAAAATGACACTGTATTAGAAATTCCAATGAAATAAAAATAAAAGTAAATACTTGGCAATGCCACTTGACTTTAATTATAACCACATGCGTACCCGTCAAAATCACATAGAAGTTGGCAAATAAAATGTTCTACTTCTACTGTTGAAATGAATATGGCTATTTCTACCTATAGACGATCCAATCGACACGTGTATGTTAAGTATGTTTATCAGTTATCTAGTACCCGTAGTAAAAGTTTTCATCTCTCACTACTCCTAAAGTGGTTAGCAGCTGTAATGGAATGGAAATAATTTTACCTTCGACTCCTCCGTCATCCAACTACTCGTACATAACCTTATAACGAATACTTCTTCTTCTTTAGGAATTACGGGTGCTTTTATTGTTTTCGCGCTGTGAATGTTAGTATTAAATAGAGTTTATTTTTCTTCATTATTTTTACATCGGCTAATTTTAACATTTCTATGCATTATAGGAAAATAAATTACTTTTAGTAACAAGACCACCATTTACCCATCATTTATATATCAAATTTTTGTTCCTGTTTATTATATTTTGGTGTGCAATAGAGAATAATCATCAATTCATTAAATGTTTACCTATTTAAATGAACGACTTGACTCCGTCATACGAGTATATGTACATTTCATACGAGTATATAGATTTGCAAAATTATTTTTTTGTTCGAAAGGGTTTCCGAATAAATGTCCCGTATAAATATCATATAGATCTGATGATGATTTTCAGAGATAGCCAACAGAACTCTTCAAAATGTGACAGCAAATCAGCCACGATTTCTGCTATCGCAGAAATATGCATTGTTTTGCGTGAAACGTTGTAAAAGTTACGTACATAATTTAAGTAAAATATTACGCTCCTTATAATGCCGATTATATAATTATGTTCATAGGTTTATATTATATATTTCATAGGTTATATATTATTCATAGGTTCACCGGTGGCGTGACGTATGAATGAGTGTGCTTGATTGTGAATCCAGTTAGGCTATTCTACGATATGCTCGGTTTGCGCAACACAGTTGCGTTGTACTACAATATTGAAAACACTTTTAGAGTACCTAAGTCTTTTAATTAATTATAATATCATCCCATATTGGGGCCAAAGCTCCAATCAACGAATTCCGGTACGAAGCATGGCCTGCCGCGAGATTCAACACGTGTTCCTGGCTTCTATCATGTTGACAAACAGCTGAAGTTCCTCGACCACGCAGAAATAGGTCTACAGTATCGGACTACTTCGGCAGAAAGAGGACGGGGTACAACAATATTTTTTGTTAACTTTAAAATTAACATACGCAATCACACAACGTAGTTAATATTACGTCTGTATGACCAAAAGTGCTAAATAAATGTATTCAGTCTAGCTGAATACGCGAAAACAACGTATTTACTCAATTAATATGCTGTATTCGCGATCTCGGCTGTCATGTGTGCATTGAAAGCGTCTTCTTGTCTAACAGTGGGATAAATTCGAATTACAACTACATCGGCAAAATCTCTTATCAACATTTCATGACGTCCGCATAGCAATTCAACTTTAGTGTTTTTGAAGACGGTTCTAATTTAACTTTTTATTCACTAAACGTTACAACTCGGCTTTGGTAATAAGCGAGGTATTTCAAACAAATCGTTGCAGACAACTTTTTCATGTTATAAGGATCTGACACTCATTACAAAAAAATTCAGCCAAGTTGGTGACGGGTTGCCGAATATGAAGTCATTGGCTTGCTATTTTTATAAGTCAGCGGATGTGTTGGGTTAAGTCTTAGTGGCACTGCATGAGTTTCGCAACTTACAGCATTAAATTGCAACTTGACTGATTGATGAAATTATTTAAGAAAAATTAATGCCTCCTGCAAAAAGTCACGGGAAACATTTTATGCATCGCGATGGAGAAGTTAACCTTCTGTCCGCCTAACTTATGTCAAGATGAGTGAAAAAGTCGTTTCCATTGCATAAATTTTATTATCATTATCAGAAGCACGAGAATTAATTAGTTCTATTCAGAAAAAATACTTTGGTATCAATTTTCTCCTAAGGTTTTCCTGGTTCAGTTTGCTTATAATTAATTCCGATCGTTCCTTTTTACAATAATAAAAAGGCAAGACGCCTTCCGCACGGAACGGACTGAAAACAAAAGTCTATAACGGCCCACCACATTCTTTCATGCCCGACAGGAAACCAGAAAGTGGAAGGGATGTAGGAACGGCCCGTGCACGCTCTGATTACAACAGATTGTTATGTGAATCGTTTCTGAAAAAATCGCTGCATAAAAATAAGAAGAAGCTTGATGTACAACTTTTTAAGGGACGAACACTCCGCATGGGAAATATAATGACTTACGTCGTAGTTGTGTTCAGGAGGGACATCCGTAAGAGGCCTATATAAGCTGTTGTTATGTGGTTGTGGAAAGCTATGTGCCAGCAGTGGTCGAGAAAAATTTACTAAGCCCATAGACTTTATTCGATATATATACATTATTTTTATTTATATTATTATATTATGTCACTATATTCGTGGCAGTCTGTAGGGGAGGCCTATATTCAGCAGTGGAGTCAAACAGGTTGAAAAGATGATGATGATGATGAAGCCCATCAAAGTGAATAACGACATTATTTTATTTAAGGAGGACTGTTTCCAACAGCTGTTTCCAGCGCTGTAGTCTCGTATCGACTGCGGCATTAAGCTGAGTGCGGTCTGTTTGCCGTATACGCCACACACAATTGTGTGCGTAAAATGTGTGATGTGTTTAATATTTTTTTTTCTTCTTCTTTTTTTCTTTTTACTATTTTTTTTTATGTTTATGGTTTAAATGTACATGTGGCGTATTTGAGCAATAAATGTTTTCTTTCTTTCTTTCTTTTCTTTCTTCAACAGCAGAAACGAAAATTATAAATCTTTAAGATGTGAAATAATTTAAAATGAATTAAAAAGTATAGTAAAATTACCAATTTCATGTGATTTTTTTCTTTACATTATACACAATACAAACATGTTTTAAAATAGCCACGTCTCTAACCGACTGCTTGAGATAAACAGTCGCAAAAGATTTCATTTCGTGACGTGAATTCTAGCTCATAGAATATTAATGTATAGTAGATTTTTCACAGAGACACATTCAGCTACAAAGCGGTTTTGCAACTAGACGCGAATAAAATTTCATTTATAACATCGGTAAAAACGTTTATGTTGTCTTTATGATGTTTCTGCACCGTATTAATATGTACGAATTTAGTTATGTAATAAAAAAAGTATTGTTCCTCGGTATTGTACAGTAATGAACTTTGTCGCGTTTAATGCCGTCGAATATCGAAATATATAGTCGAAATATCGTAAGGTCTGGTAAATGTATGTGGTAAAGGTATGTGAAATCTGATTAGATCTGTCTGTCTTCATTACAGAATATAAACAGGCTAATATTCATTAAATTATATGTATATCGGTACTGGCACCAATGAAATTGTTAATTTTAAGTGCTGACTTATCACGTTCGCAGCGGTGAAGAACAACATATCGAGGAAACCTGCATATTATGGAAATAATAACAAAAACTAATATTTCGAAGTTATGTGAAGTCCGCAAGAAAAATAATATAAGATATATAGAAGAAAAGATAAGTTGACAAAAATAGTTAACAAGATAAGTTAACAAGTAAGACATCGTACATTTAAATAATTTATGAAATTACATATATGTATATAAATTGAACCTTACTAATTAATTTATATTCACAAATCTTGAGGTTAAATCAAGAAAGGCGTAAAAATGATAAATATACTGTAAAAATGTGATTGAAAGATTATGTTTGTATTAAATCCGTACATATAAATTCCTAGCAAATTATAAATATAATAAATTCATTATACAATTAAAACATATTAACTTTAAATAAACTACTGTGGACTAAAACGTTTGAAAGTTTCATGTCATTTGGATACTTAAAAGTAATTTGTATACATAAATAGAAAACAAATTCCTTGCTCATGTTTTCTTTTTATTGCTTTAGAAATAAAAGGAAAAAATATCAATAATACTTTACGATCTCACTCATCATTAAGAATATAGGTCAGTAGAACTGTGTGCGGAGTTCTAAATGTTACCTTTGGTACTCGTCTCAGAAATAATGGCCGCGTGTGACATGTGCGCCTGTGATCTAGAGTTTTGAAAATTTATATACAATTAAATACCTTACATATAATATATAGCGATTTCTTGTTTTTACTCCATCACTATACTAAAACGGTTTCATTTAACCTTGCATTACAGATATATGCGCGATTCATAATTCAAAAATATTTATTTTTATTATATTAAATCAAGCAACTGCATACTGTTGTATCCATGCAAAATAAACAAGAATATAATCGATACAAAATAAGCGAGGTGTGTGTACAAAAACAAAGTGTCGGATTTTAGACTGACGTTGAAGTGAGAAGTGGCTTCGATAGTGGATACGAGTGTACCGGAGTGGTACAGTGGAGATCGTTCGGGATAGCTCAACGGCCGCAGTCGCTCCGAGCACCCGTCCCGACGCCACGCCGCGCCGGGCCGCTGCCACTCATCCGCGAAAATCGATATCATTGTGTCGCCGTACATGCAAGCTTTTATTGCCCAGCGTATACATTCTTCCGAAAAGTCTCGTGTAACGTCTCAGGACGTCATTGTAATACCCTGCGCCCGTGTATCTTTTATCGTCTCCGCCTCCCTAGTTACACCCGATTCGATAGATGAACGCAGCGCGGATTTTTCGAGACCACCCGCTGATCATATCGTGAAAATGGTAGTAATTGTACAGGAGTCGCGTTCACCTTTCGTGTTTTCCGTTTTACACGCTCGCGGTATGCAAGATAGAAGTGGAGAAAAGAAATGAGAAGCGCCCATTCATCGGTGGCCCTCGCTGCGTGTCGCCCCCGCAACTGGACAACCGCCGTCCGCGGTGTCGGCGTCGCGAGTAAACCGCGCGAGATGCTCGGACGCGATTTCGGCGAGAACGGCCGAAGGTCGCGGTTTGCGTAGACGCGACGCCGGGGAAGTTGGCAGGCGGCGCGGACGCGTTCCGCGTGGCGGGCCCTGCGCGTCCGCCGATCAGTAAAGCGGCAAGGTCCGAGGATATGCCCGCGCGATGGACTACCAATGCGTCGTCGTCTACACGGTCATCAACATCGCCCCGCCGCGACTCTCCGCGCAGGCGACCGAGCTCAACGGCTGCGTCGCCTGGTTCAAAAACAAAATCAAGAGGTCAGTTTGCTTAATTATAATAACATTGGCAACATTGGATACAGAAACCTTCGCAATTATGTTCATCGGATGTGTAAACGGGCCAATTGTAAATGGAAATATCTACGAATTGTGATTAATGAAAGCCATTTTCATAAACTTTATTTGATAGAATTGTATAACAATCAGTAAAAATTAATTATAATCAATTATTAAGAATTTTCCAATCTTAATTGCAATCAATTACTATCTATAGAAAATAATTTTAAATTCAGTTAACTATTTAAATAATACAACAAACAGTTTCTTTTTTTAATTGGTTTGAGTGAGATTAAGCTTTTACTTCGTTATCAATCTCTCTTAAGCGCTTGTAGTATTATATTGTATTGTCAGTCGATGCATTAATTTGTAAAATAACGATGAATATAAAGGAAAATAATAACAAGCGAAGAAAACATTGTAAAATATTAAAAGTTTGTTTAAGAGCTTTTTAAACCTCACTTAAGTCAAGTGCAATAGACGAGGTCTACAAGATGAAAACTACTTTAATCTTGATGGCTTTTGCATTTATTACCCTAAAACAATGTAAGATTAGAAATTTTAAAGTGGGACGTTAACTAAAATGTGATTTTTATAACTCATGTTAGTTATTTTAGGCCTTTGTATGGATGGATTTGTATGGGTCCTACAAATCACAGTAAAAAATTAAATGTTTCATGTGTAAAATGATAAGAAAACTAGTGAAACTTATTTAAGTATTTTCCTGTGATTGGGAAACAGCAGGTTTCGCATGGGCGGGCAAGCTTGTTGTGATTAGGTCTTCTGTGTTTTGTTACATTCGTGCATCAGAGAAGACTATTGCCCTAAAATATGAAAGATATATATGATTTTAAAAAGTATGTAGGTTATTCTCTTAGTAAATAAAACATGATTGTCTAAGTAGATTATTTTGTTATTATTAAGTAAGTTTATTAGGCATACCACCTCACAATATTCATAAGTTTAATTTTCCTTGTTCTAAGGTTCTCTGGAAGAGATCGCTCTTTAGCGATAAGATCGCCTTATTTTACCTAGTTTTTAAGATTTATTTTAAATCAACTGTATGCAATTATTTGTGGTGTACAGTAAAGTATATAATAATAATAGATTAAAATGAAAGCTTACAGAAAATGCAATTATTCTTATTTACAATAAATTCAACACTTTTAGATGCCAATTTTTCATTTTTCTCACTGCCATTAACAATTCAACATAATTAATGTTTCCAGAGCGGTAGCAGCATACCTAGAATCACTTAAACTAACACCGGGTAATGCAATTGTACACGGGAATTTAGCATGTCTCTACTATAAACAAGGACGTATAGACCTTGCTATAGACACGTACAAGCGAGCAATAGAGCTTCAACCCAATTTCCCTGATGCCTACTGCAATCTCGCTAATGCACTTAAAGAGAAAGGCCTTGTCGCGGAGGCGGAGGATTGTTATAATGCAGCTTTACGTTTGTGCCCATCTCACGTTGATACTTTGAATAATCTCGGAAATGTCAAGAGAGAACAAGGTAAAATTAACGAGGCCACAATGCTATATATGAGAGCTTTAGAGGTATTTCCCAATTTTGCTGCAACTCATAGCAATTTGGCATCCTTATTACAACAGCAAGGTCAGTATTTTAGTGCAATTTTTTAATTCACAGCATTTCACTGTAAAACAATCTAATTTCCTTAGAAAAAACAGTTTTGATTCGCAACCAACTTCACGGCATTAATGGCTCCATGGCAACCAATAACAACTTTTTGACATTTATCAATAATTACAAGTTTAATATCTTTTGCCTAAAAGTGTATAACTTTTTACGGGCGTACATAAGTATATACTTTTTTCTGTGTCAAAACAGATTACTCAAACGTTAATCTTCACTGCTGACATGTTTCTGTTTATATTTATTAAATTGTATGCTGTAACTTTTTGCAGGTAAACTACATGAAGCGTTATCACATTACAGGCAAGCTATAAATATTCAACCCAAGTTTGCTGATGCCTACAGCAATATGGGAAATACTTTAAGAGAAATGCAAGATGTAACGGGTGCCCTGACATGTTTCAGAAAAGCCATTGATCTTAATCCTATGTTTGCTGACGCATATTGCAATTTAGGGAGTATTTTAAAGGATATGGGAAATGTAATGGAGGCGATTATATGTTATGAAAATGCTTTAAAAATAAAACCAGACTTTCCTGACGCTTATTGCAACTTAGCCCACTGTTTTCAAATTATATGTTACTGGGACGGTTATTATGAGCGAATGCAAAACATAGTAACCATTGTAGAAAAACAACTCCGTTCCGAAAAGTTGACTTCAATACATCCACACCATTCTATTCTTTATCCACTATCTAATAAATGTAGAAGAGAAATTGCAACGAAACAAGCTCAGTTACATATAGATAAAATAAAAATGCTTGGGGATATTACTTTTGAGTACAGCACAATCAATGACGAACGGTTACGAATTGGTTACGTGAGCAGTGATTTTGGAAATCATCCTACGTCACATTTGATGCAGTCTATACCAGGTCTGCATGACGTTACCAAATTCGAAGTATTTATCTACGCTTTAAATCCAGATGATGGGACAACATTCCGTAGAAAAATAGTTCAAGAATCAGAACACTTCTTAGATTTATCGCGGGTCACTTGTAATATAGAAGCGGCAAAAATTATAAACCGTGATAAAATACACATTTTAATAAATATGAATGGATATACCAAGGGAGCTAGAAATGAGATTTTTGCATTAAAACCAGCACCAATTCAAGTTATGTGGCTTGGTTACCCTGGAACTAGCGGAGCTGAATATATTGATTACATAATAACTGACGAAATATCATGTCCTTTAACAACCGTGAATGATTTTAGCGAAAAATTTGCCCACATGCCTCACACTTATTTTATAGGTGACCACAAACAAATGTTTCCACACTTAATGAAACGATATAAAGTTTATATTAATGATTCAAACAGTATTGATGGAGATACAGCTATAATAAACGCGCCGGAGGCTATAGATGTTAAAAATGTATTTTCCTTTAGTGAAGAAAAGCGAACCATTTCATTTGAAAATTTGCAGCCTATAAATATAGTTGAAAATAATTTATACATTCCGAGTTATGTATTCGAAATGACAATAAATAATGAGCAAGAAAAGGTACTAAAAATCAATCACTTAGTTTCATTACTTTTTTGAATTAAATGTAAATGTATTAAATGATTTCAGGTCAATGTAAATGATACTGTTATTTATAATGGCATATCGATAAACTGTAGTAATAGGAAATTGGGTTCTGGTGAAGAAATTGTTGACAATATAATATTTACTTCAAGGAAGCATTACGGGCTTCCCTATAATGCGATAGTATACTGTAATTTTAATCAATTATATAAGACTGACCCCGATATACTAACATCCTGGGTTCATATAATAAAAATGGTGCCAAATAGTATTCTGTGGTTGCTGAGTTTTCCAGAAGCCGGAAAACCAAATGTGTTGAGATATGTTCAGAGCTTAGGTAAAGACTTGATACAAAATTTTAAGATTTTATTATCTTTCTCTTATGTTTTTTATTAATAATATTCTCTTGTTTACAGGGTTGTCACCCAGTCGTGTGATATTTTCCAAAATAGCATGTAAGGAAGAGCATGTAAGAAGAGGTCAGCTAGCCGATGTTTTTTTAGACACACCTTTATGTAATGGACACACAACTGCAATGGATATCCTTTGGGCGGGAACACCTGTAGTAACATTGCCAGGTGCTACATTAGCGTCAAGGTTGGTTTGGATTTTCTATGTAAATATATAAACTACATCCTAGACTTATTTAAAAAAGTTTATTTATGATCACTTACAGAGTTGCTGCATCCCTTTTGAATAGTCTAGACTGTCGGGAACTTATTGCTAAGGATAGTAAAAGTTATGTGGAAATAGCTGTCAAGTTGGGTATTGACAATCAATAGTAAGTAACAGTTTTTATAATAAGATATATTACACCAAGTATTTATTATGAGGCTTATTGCGGAAAAAAACGTCCTATTATAGGTACCATACACTAAAGAGTGTAATTGGCGATTTTATTATAATTTATATGTGAACATATGTATAATATAAGTGAACGTTTTAATCTTTATTTGTTGAAATCCAAGTATATACCGATGCATACTGAGAACAGGTATGTTCGCCATATTATAAAATTAAATATGATTCAGATTTTTGTTTCAATTATTTATAATTTCATCGCATGGAACGAAATAACTGAAAATATAATTGTAAAGCGACCTAATTTAATTCCTTTTTCATGCAATAGAATAATTTTTAATTTTGGTGCTCATGCGTATTGACAAGTTACAACAATACAATAAAACAATAACATATTCTCATTATTTATGTATTATTTATATATTATGTATTATATATTGATGTAAGTGAATAATTAAGAAAACATTGACTTTCATTATTCACTGCGATTTTTCCATTCAGTAATTTTATTGTCTAATCATAAATAAATTTAAACTAAACTTTTGTTTAAAATCTTTAAAAGACCCATTATAATTTAACGTTTTTTTAAACGTTAAATTATAATGGGTATAAATTATCTGACGGTCTGACGGTTCACCTGATGATAAGTGATAACCACCGCCCATTGACATTAGCAATACACGTAGGCTTATAGATGCGTTGTCTCCTAAAGTGGGCCCCGGCTACTTCATAGACTAGACGAAACGCAGAAGAATAGAACTTCCACTTCACGCCGGTTTTCACACCGTCCCATTCGCTATACTTATTTGTGCTTATTTCCTTTAAGCCTATTTATAAAGAAATTTTAACTTTCAGCCGAAGATACATTCAATCAAAGGTTGCGGAGGCTCGTTTAAGTAGTCCATTATTTGACTGTAAACATTTTACGAGTGGGTTGGAGTCATTATATAGAAAAATGTGGGAACTATACAAGAGTGGAAGTAGTCCAGAGCATATTATAGCATTCCAATAAAATATTAATTACGATCTTTAAACTTTAACATGTTGATACTTCAGTTCTGTAATTAGAAGAGTATTCGAAAATTGACACAATTATTTTTTTTTTTTAATATTCATGTACCTACATGTATGATGACCAACTGATTATATACATTTTTTTTACAAATTAATTTCCCGAACAAATGTTTTTTCGTTATACCAATAGTTTACACTAAGCATAATACAGTAAAAATAAGATTTTTAATAGGAAAATGTAAATCACTTTTTCTTTTTTATCTTTTCGGGTAAACACAAGTATACAGACAATCTAATTAACACCGTCCAGAGACGTCCATTAAAATGTTTGATTGTAACACTTGACCATTCGTCCTTCAGTGTTTTATGCATTTAACTCAAGTGACAAGATATTCAAGTGTAAACAATGTATTTAGCTCATTAAGATTTTATTCAAGCCCGTTGATTAAGTTTTATGAACGACTAAAGTACACTTAGAAATGTTTTAGAGAAATAAAAAACCCTTTTTACAAAAATGGCTTTATTTTTCTTTAGTATCTTTACACAATAATCATTCACAAGTATACATATGCTTGGAACGTAGTTTACTGTAACAAATTTTTAACCCATTTATAACACAGAAAATATACACATAGAGATATTAATAAAATACAGTAAACTTTGAAAATAATCTCCCCAGAATACGAACATATCCATCAAGGAAATAAGAATATATCTTACCCAATATTAACTCAAAAATGGTTAATGTTAAGAAAACAACAATCAGTAACTCTGCGTATTTGTTTATGTTATTAGTTGTTATTTTTAGTAGCTTTCCTTGATGAGTATGTGCGTAAATTAGGTACATTTGTCGTTACAGGAGGACAGCAAAATTAGTAGCATCTGTAGGATTTTAAAAAGACCGCATTTTATTGATAACATAATTATAATATAGTGGTAAATGCAAACATATCTATAACATAGTGGTAAACACTAACACAAGAGGTCGATAGTAAAATTCTGAAGTAAATATGCAAAATTTCTCATCTCCAATTACTCTCTTGCTATTGTTTATGAACCTTCTTTAAAAGCTTCGTGGTATTAATTTCTATTAATCTATTTCATACTAATATTATATTTCCACCGTATTCTACACGTGTAAACCTCCTATTATCCTACATTATTCTATTAAACCGTATTACTTGGTGTTCATAAATTATTACACGTGGTAAAGAATAGGTTGTAATCTGATAAATCAAGCATGATAACAATTTTAGGGTAAATACTATTGATCAAATTTTGTGATTATATCAAAAATGCTGATAAAAATAAAAAATAAACTTAATAGCTATAAATTCACATAAAACATAATGTTTGAACGAATATAAACATAAGTTTTTAAATATTAAAATTATGTTATAATCATAAGTAGAAATAAACCTTTTTAAAGCTATTAAAAATATCAAAATCAAAAATGGATTATACGCAATTCAAGATATTTTTCAGTTAAGTAAGTTACCCTAAGTTATATGTAGAAATCCTTCTACTTTGTAACAATCCTTTTTTTGAATTAAATTACTATATATAATTGAGCCATTTAATTTAGAGTAGAAATTGTTATTGTTTTGATGGTAATTATTACGTGTGAAATTGGCTAAAGAGCGAAACTGCTTTTCTAAGAAGATTCCAATCCTGCTTTATTACAACCGTTTTAAGAAACTTTACCAGAAATTCAATTTTGTATGTTTTTTTTCTAATGGATATTCGAATTGATATAAAATAAGTTCTTTAGTTACAATCATTATTGTTTTGTCTATAATAATCAATTTTACCATATTTATATATGTTATGTATTATATAAAATAAACGTAATGACTATACTCTAAATTAATTTTGTATACCCGTATATAAAGCAGCAATAATTAAGGCATGTTTTAGAATATTCGGAAAGGTTTGTTTCTGTATTTGAGCGTCTCTATTGACATACATTTGTGAATAATTTCTTTATTCTAGTGACTCCTAAATATCTATTTTGACCTACCTTAAATTTTTATTTGTAATTTTAAATCGAGTAAATAATAATAAAAAACCTCATTAAAACGTGTAAAAATTTACATCGTATTAATATTATCTGTCATTTCAGGTCAATAAATCAGGTCTATAAAAGCAAACCGTGTTAATAAATAACCTTTAAGGCTTTTAAATAAAATACTTTTACGTATCCGCACGATTGGAATGTTTATAAAAAAAAACGTTAAATAAGAATATAGTGAATTACGTAAGTTAAAATAAACTAATTATATATTCTATCAAGATTTACAAAAATTAATAAAAAAAAAACTTAATACTTCTTAAGTAAACCGAGCTGATATTAGAATAATTTAAACTTGTTAAAAGTGGACAAAAAATAATGTATTATTCAAGAAAAACTGCTTTTTTAATGTAATTACAAAAACCTAAAACCCACAGGTTTTTCTAGAGTTTGCTTCGCAATTTGTTGCATTTATCCTTATCGTCTAGATCTTCTAACACTATATGGTATTATGAATTTAACATTCTGATCTTTGCGAGATTTTATTTAATCATTATAATATCACATCTAACAATAACTTGAATCAATAATATCCAACTAGCTTTTCTTATCAACATAAAGTTTAGATAATAACACAAAGCAGTAATTTCGGTAACAATACTTAACGAAATCAGTACAATATTACAAAATAGTTTATTTTATAAAAACCGCGCAGTTGTCACGTCCTCTAGGTAAATTGTACAACAAATTTTACTTTAACTATGTATAAAATTACATTATACATCAAAGTGATTCCAATCGATTGGGTATAAGGCATCTTCTCGACTCGTTCTAATTTATAAATCTTTGTTTTCAATGACTTTGGATGTCAAAACAAGATTTATATTTATTGTGAAAACCTCACAGTTATATCTTTATAAAAATGTTATTATTTTATATTGCTTTTGGATATATTGGTATGACTCCGGCCCATTAATGCTTCATTTAATTGGCAAATTTATTCTAATATTACTATGTACTGAAACTAAAATTAAGTTCAATCAATAATAACTCTCATCCAATATGCCACACGCAAACTGTAAATTATAATAAATACAAAATAAAATTTCTAAATCTTAAGTTAGAATTATCATAAAAAAAATAATTGTCTGAATGTGCACACAAACGTTAATTTATTTATCAATACCTTACCACTATTTGTTTCGCACTTAATTTCTAATAACTAGACAATAATTTTAGAATTTCGTTTCGGAGATACGAAGCGCTTGCATCGTGGTATCTAGATTCAAATACTATCGGCGATTCTTATGCTACAATTTTCCTAATATTTACCTAATATTTAATTTAGAATATCATGAATTGCATTTTAATTAAATGTGATTACACATTATTAGAGTGCCATAATAAGAATGCAATTACCATAATAGATGGTAGATTAATCAAGATTAAAAATTCATGCGATACTTTTAATACACTATCCTTAAAATGTGATTTCATTATAAATTTATGTTTCTGCATATTTCTCTTGTTTGAAGTGAATATAAGTTATATCATATCATAATAATCAACATAATTTGAGATAACTATATTGAGTAGAATTCGTTAATAAACCGATGTTGAAATAATTATGTGCAATAAGAAATACTATTCACGAGTTAAGCTTACGGCGCAACAACATTCCTCGATTTTTAACAATTTATAACACTTTAATCTTCATACTCGTAACATCATTATGTCATTTATAAAATATAGGTACATATATTGTACTTTGTGGAAGTGTACTTCAGTTCTCTCGTGTAAAATTTATATAACGGAACTTAGTAATGGGTACCATTTCAAGTGAAAAGCAGTAAACAAATATTTATTTGGATTCTTTAAAATCCATTTTTATATTATATATAATTCCTAATATTTCAACTCTGTCTAGCAGCTTATGTTTCGTTTTAATTGGAATGGCAGTGTTTATAATACTACATCGTTAATCTTTAGTAATTAATATTGTCCCGACTATAAACTGACCTAATTTTCGCAAATATATTATAAACTTCATGAAACACGGTTACGAATACAAGGTAATATCGTAGCTGATGACAGGAGCTCTGCACATCAGATAATGAGGGTAAAAGCTGTTAAGTAGGGAAGGGTCATTCCTATATGATCTTCTTATATGTAAATAATGTATCATTTAACACAAGAAGAAAATTTTTGAATTCGCTTCCCAGGTTAACAGAATTAATACAGTTCTAATGCTCAATAGATTGCATTTTCTACAAGAGCTTCTTCAAATTTAGTGGCCAAAAAATAAGCTTATTCATCTATTTCGCTAATACGGTAAAGCATTGCATTTGCTAATGTGCAGCTCTAATCTAATGTAAAAAACAGCATCTTGGAAGATAGAAATGGTAATGGAAAGGTTATTAAACTGTTTATAATTATATTCATAACTGTCAATCGTTCCGTGCAGTTTTATCTGATTTCATTTAGTCTAAAACTACAAACTATAAAGTTAGTTGTATTTACAAAACTCAGTAAGATGATTCTACAAAGATGTAGTATGTTAGAGTATGATATTTTAAACAATTTAAGTGCCTGTTTATGTATATTACATTTTTCATTTTATATCTCCCTCCCGGAGCATCGTGTTTACATTTAGACTTTTTGTTTTATATATCACGAGTTGTGCTAATTTTATAATTTCAGTACGTGCAGAATTCTCATGCTCTTGGCTTCGCGACAAATATATTGACATTGAAAACTCTAATAGAAATATTAAGATAACATCATACAGTGTTTTTGATCTTTATAGTCATGACTTTAATATGTGTCGACATTTTCTCTAAAAATAAAGAAATTTGACGTTCAGGATTTGTAACATTCATGAATGGATGAGAGAATTCTATTTAAAATAACTTAATATATTATAGGCCTGTCAAGGATCGTCTGTCAAAAGCATGCATTATTACAAATAACTATTTGATTGTAGTTCCTTTCATACTACTCAAAGATGAATAAAAAGATGGATAAAATATTATAAAGTTATTGTACTAATGTTAGAATTGAAATATGAAACAAAATAAATTCACATGCATTTACTGATATAAAGCATAACCACAGCTCACTAAAATCGTAATGCTTCGGTTATCAAATTACTCTTGTAAGCTTAGAGTAAAAAAAAACTTAAACCAGATACAATATTCAGAATACACTGCACTACTCTATAAAGTAATCCCTAGTCTATAGATCTTAAACTATGTAAAATATTGCAAAAAAATAACAAATTGCTAGGTTTGATAATATGTGAATAGAAGATTCTACTAATTCTAATTGATTAATCAAGCAGAAATAGTTGAGCATCAGATTTATATTACATAGATTATTATATTTATACACATCTTATTTTTCCACACATCGTACCCACAAATTTCAAACTTCAATAGCATAAAATATTTTATGCAAACAATCTAATAATCTCTGTTTCCAAATATAATGAAATAGTTTGAAGCAATATGCTAATTCACTTAAGTTGATAGAAGTAAATAATTTTTCATAGAGTTAACATTGATGGCTTGTTTGCAATTATTGAGGAACTTATGTGTGTGGAAAAATAAGTGTGTATGAGTAAGCTCCCTCTATTTATCCTCTTCCAGTAGAACCAAATCGTCAGCCACGACGTCTGATACGTGCAGGTATATGATCCAATACATAAGGTTAAAGCAAACGAAGCAGACTGGAAACACGATGCGTGAATATTTGTCGATATCCGATGGAGTCATGCCCAAGAGCTTGCTTATATCCTGGAACAGATCATATGAACTAATTTATAAAGCGAAATTATATTCGCAGTACAAATAACTCTTTAATATTTGAGAAAAAGTATAAAGTAAAGTTCGCTGCAATAAAAAGTTCGCTGCAGCGATATCAAAATATTTATACAAGATAAATAAAATTGGAAGAGTAATACACAAATAATGCTTCAAGGCGATTTGCTTTCGCTTAGCATAATCACGCCGGCCACATAAAATTCACATTAACAAACAACAATTATCATATTTATTACAAGGAAATTACCTTGCCAGGATGCAAAATATGAGGCGGTGGACCTGGATTATCTTCTTCATTAGCTCTTCCTCCGTTGATTGTGTTTTCTAGAGTTCCGCCTTTCGAGTGAGCCTTAGGGTCATGGACTTTAAATCGAACCTCCTGAAAATTTTGACCGACACACTATGTTACAATTAGCCAAAATTGTTTCATTTGTATTACCTTATGTCAATACTTACCGATGGCCGCCCTGGCGGGCATCTGCCTACGGTGTTCATCTTTGAAAGTGTATGTGAATCCCCAACAGGAGGGCAATCGACAGGAATTTTCTTTTCTGAAGCTATTTTTTGTATCGCCACAAATCTCTGCTTTCTCATTTGTATTCTTTTTGCCATGTAACCCACCGTAGCGTATTCTGTAATGAGCAAGAGAGTGTGGTCTTTATCAAAAGGCTGCTTCTTATTTGCTTGGTTAACTCAAGCAATTATTTAGGAATTTTAAAATCATAGAAATAAATTCGCCGAACACATCGCTAATAATGTAGCAAAATTAAAAATGGCAGTTGCAAAATGTATTCGCATTGCAGGCGCAGATCATGAAATTTTCTAATGAATGCAAAGATATATTTACCTAAGAGACTTGCGAAGACCATAACGAAGCATGTCCCGAGATACACGTCGATGGACTTAACGTAGGAAATCTTCGGAAGGGCGGCGTTGGTCGACGACATAAGGGTAGTCATGGTCAACACGGTGGTAACACCTAATGCCACTCTAGCCGGCGTAGCATTACGATTTAACCAAAACGACACCCAAGATATGATGACAATCAAACCAGATGGTATATAGATTTGAATTAAATAGTACCCCATTGAACGAACAAATTGTATTTCACAAGCTAATCTGGAGTAATTTCCTGGAAAAGATGTTCAATGCTATAATGTTAAAAGCGTTTGTAATTTTTTGGAAGGGTTTACACGGTATAAAAACTGATTATTATACTGAATACTGTTTTAATTAAAAGTATTAATCATATTTATTATACATGTAATTAAACATTTTTCCAATTACTTGTACAAGGAAATCTAAGTCATGGGGATCTATGACCTAAAATCGAAGTACTGAAATTACACACACCACTCAGTGTTTAGTGCAAAAATACAAAAGCAGGATGTGAAGAGAATGGTGGCTGTTTCTGTCCAGTGTTTGACGTATCAGTAAAATTTTCACTTCATTTTTTCCATATACTTAAATCCCCCTAAATAAAGTACCTGTTGTAAGTGAGATCTCCATAGCTCGCTGTCGATGGCCAAGCACCTTGAACTGCGGTAGCGACACCTCATTTGAAACACCCACTGAGTTGGGCCCCTCGTTCCATTTGTATCGGATGTCTCGCATGGTGTAGCCGACTGTGCGCATCGGACACATAAGTGAAATAACCCCAAGGCCCATCGCAATGGGTTTTGTGACTCGAGTCGTCCTTCGGTCGGGGTTAAAATAAGGAACCGCGAGTTTGCTTATCACGCGTTTTTTTTCCGTGCGATTTTTGTATTGTGTCATAGCGTGTGTGCTGGTGTCACGGTAACTGTCATCTGCGCACACGGGCTGAGGGAGACGGGTTCGGTGGCAGGGCAATGTATGGATGGTGCTAGGTAGCGGGCATTGCGATTGGTTACCTGTGGTCAGCGTTACAACCGTTGCTCGCTGCCGATGGCCAAGCACCCTGAACTGCGGTAGTTGAACTTCATTACTCATGCCGACGCTTGACAGTCCATCTTTCCAATGGTACCGAATATCTCTCATTGTGTACCCGACTCCGGAGACATGCCAAACACACAAAACGCTATCACTTACGCTGAGAAGTACCGCGTATCCCCCGTTCGCGTAGCCGCGGCGCCGGCGGGAACCGGGGGCGAGACGAACGAGCGGAATCGAGATACGACCGTGCTGCAGTCGTACAACTCGTGTCAGCTCATGATTGATGATAGAAAAATATAAATCTACTCAAACTACGTTACGACCCTACGGATGTGCATAAACACACAAGTAAAGTTATAAATCCATAAATACGTGCTATAAGATTTAAAAAAATGTCATATATGCGATTATCTTGAGAAGCGATTAATGTGACGTGCAAGTGCGCTTGATAAGTATGCGGTGAGGCGGCAAGCGGCGGTAATTATGCGGGGTGAGAGGGTGTGGGTTGGCCGCGTGCAGTGCACTCCGTCTGCGGCACGGCCTTCGGTGGTTGTGCAGACCCCCCGGGCGCCGCCGAACCCCGCCTCCGTCGGTCCGCTCAGCTAACACAGCATCGATGTCGCATAACCCTTTCTTTTTCGCTTTATGCTTGTGATGACAAAGGCTTACTATTTTACGAGTCTGCCTTCTGCGGGTGCTGTATGCGAGAAGGAGACGTTCCAACTTATGAGAAGACGGGGGGAACCACAGCACGTGTCGACCAATAAATTGTACGCATGTGCTCACAGGTTAGCCCTGAGTAGCATCTGTGATACAAAAAAGTGATCACAACACAATATCGGTAAGCCTAGTGATAAATTTGCATTGTGGTAAGAATTAAATCAATGGTTGCTTTGAGTGAACACACATACATATTAAAATACCATTAATTATTTTTCTATCATCATGAAAATTGATATAATACGTTGCACAGCTTATTTTTTATTTTGTTTTATTAAACTTTAATCCATTGGAAAAAAACAATCACAACTTTGCACGATATATATGCATATGTCATATGTTATACGAGTATATAATATTAAGCGTGCTTTAAATAAACTGTTCTTACACACATATATAATTACACTTTAGGCAAATAATATTTTGCTGCATATAACTTACTAATATTAATATTTAATAATATTCGACCACAACCATTTAATTATTCTTCTTGAATTGAAACCCGTAGGAAGATACTTACAACTCTCGATTTCTATGTGGCATAATTGCCTGTCCATCGGAAAGTACTGGAGATTCATTGGGCATGATGCTGTGATTGTCAATCTGCAATTTAAGGTTATAAGATAAATTTACAAATAATCAAACAGTCATTTCACATGTGTACGTTTACTTTTACCTTATACTTCTGGTGATAGACCCTGAATGATGTATCCGAATGAATTCATTGCTAGTAGTAGCTATGTGAAAATAAGACTGTTTTTCGTTTACAAAGAATGTGTCAGGTACCCAAATATTCTTAATAAATTCAGAGCCAACCGATAACGTTTCTACCCCTGGCCTTTTCTTGTATGCCAATCGTGGATCGGTCCAAAACTGTCTGAAGTAAAAGTCCAGGGTGAAGTCCTGAGAAAAAAAATAGGCATTGAAGTCCGTTTCTTTTTACTTGTTCATAATCATATTTGATGTTCAGACCGAACAGAAGTGCCATTGACCATTTGAAATTATACTTAGTTTCAATTTGATTACTATCAAAAATATGCTCTAATTTTAAAAATATGCAATAAATAAATGATAACTGATAAACATTTATTATCACACGTATGTTATTGCTTATAAATTTAAACTATTACGGGATCGTCTAAACACTGGCATGCTGAAATTGGTTACCACAGTGTCATAATTATGCAAAAATAACAATTTGCTTTTGCGTATAAATATTGCAGATATATTTCGATGTGCGACACATTTTTATATTCACAAATTAACAAGGATATAAACACATCGCTACTCTCCATAAGCGGCGACAACAGTAAGCGTGAAACAGTTACAAAAATAAATGAATTGTGCAATATGTGGTAATGATATCTACTAAACATAGGTGGTTATTAGTTTCGAAAAGGAAAGCGTGTACTTTGGTGATAGGAAAGGATATGGTTAGCGCCGGCAGGCATCCTTGGCTCGATAAAGGACCTCACCGCAATGAAGCTAACAAGCTGGCACGGGTACTAAGCCCGAGCTGAGTTTGGATCAGGTTTGTGGAACAATTTATTGAAAATTAATGATTGCGACCCGATCGCAATTTTGCGAATTTCTAATTTAACAATTATCCTCATGGGTTATGGGCCACGTCTCATTGTGTCCTTCTCAACCTCGATTTGGTTTCCACTTCGGGGTCCTTCACCCAAACGTCTAAAAGCCCACACAGGAAGCACATTGGAAGACCGGATTTAATACGATTTTCAATAATTTTTTCATACACATAGTGTTAACGCAGTAATACGTAAGCTTTAGCCGGTGTTCCAAGTCACTGGTGAGCAAAGAGATTTCAGAATATTGGCAATGTTTTAATAGATACAAAAATACGTACAAACACAACAATCTACAAAATGATCCACGATTAAAACATTACAGTCGTCGCAAATCCATAGAGCCCTGAAGAATCTCTTTCCATTTATATTTAGTATGTTTATTTAAACATGTAGCTCGTTAACATAGAAAAAAGTCATTTTGATGGTCTGAAAGTAGTGAACAATATCCATCAGCTAGCTAAGACTTTTGGTCCAAATTTAGTTCAATTAATATTAGAAATAATTTTCACTACTTTCCTAATACCGATAAAACGTCTTTGGACTTACGAGTACTGCCGAACACATAACTTTGTAACTCTTAATAATACAACGTATTGCTTTTCTTATTATGAAAAACACAATGTATATGACTGTACAGGCTGGTAAGACCAAATAGTCATAATAAGAAAGCAAATGGGCGGACAATAGGGCGTTTCGCTCCACCAAACGCGGACATGCTCGCAGCCTCGTGTCTGGGGCTGCTCGGTCGCGGCGGCTGGCACCGAGGCGACCGAGACAAGCGTGAGCTGACAGTGGCGAGTACCATGAGCACTTCGGAGACGGAGCTGATAGAGAGCACATACATGGTGACGCCCACCTCCACTGGCGGACCTGCAATCAAGCCCAATCGTGAGTCGCGCGCGCGCCTCGCGCCGTGAAAACCAAACCAGAGGATGGTGACGTTACCCATCCCCGGAGGGTGAGTTGGGGCGTGGGTGGCGCGGGTGCGTGTCGATAACGAACGGTTGGGCGGTAATTCGCGACGCATCTGCTAACTCGCGCGAACGTTACGCGTATACGTAAGGTCGCGTCAAGACTTTTACTAAAATTGCGATCGAACCGTGGACACGGGTGCTACGATGAACGGTAAGATGCTGGTGATTGGCACTAAGGGGCAATATTCTTGCTATGTATGCGCTGTGTCGTTGATATTGCTTTGAAAGTAAGATACCATTTTCACTTCAGACAGAGAGCTGATGGAGAGCACGTACATGGTAACCCCCACTTCCACGGGTGGTCCTGAAAATTACATAATACATACAAGGTACATATTAGAGTTTTGTCCGCTGTATGGTACCACTTTGCTTGAGATCCATACAAACGTTTTCTTTTTCGAATTACATTTTTGTAAATTTATTGCAGTAACATCTTAAATTTTATACAACGGATTTATCCAATAATTTTATCCAATGACGGGTAACATCAGAAACACTTTTGTGTTGAACATCTTAAAGGACGGTTTAAAGTCGTACCGGTTTCAGCTTATCTCTCCCTTTAGAAGTCGCAGCATCCTAAATTAATGACTCTGTTTACGACTTCATCCTTTTTATGACTTTAATATACCGTTATTCAATTTTCAGCGCCAAGTGAGATAAAAAACAATGTTATTTTTTATTTTACCTATCTCCATCCATACAAGTATCTTTTAATGATTATTACGTTAAACATTATGTATGGTTTACAATGTACTCTTTAGTTTATGCATATATAAGTAGAAGAAATCAAATTTCAGTCTGTTCGTGTTCATTGTTGAATACAGGCTTTCACCACATTGCCATTGCCACGAGCATGATCCTGAGGCCACATTCATCTATTGACTTCCCGCACATTTGCTCTGTTCGTACTCAATCAACAATAAAGGTCAAACAATTAATGGACAATACTACCCTAATCTTATCGATACGCTTCATCAATGTGTTTAGTAAAAACGACCAGGTTTGGCGAAAAATAAGATCATCTTCCATCAAGGCAACGCTAGGGTTCACCCATGTGTTAAAGCTATGGCAAAAATCAACGAATTGAAGTATGAACTGCTGCCCCACCCACCTTATTCGCCTGATCTAGCGCCATCAAACTTCCACTAATTCCCTAAGCTCAAAACTTTTTTGGGCGGACAGAAATTTGCCACAAATGATGAAGTTATAGCCGCTGTAGAGGAATATTTTGCAGGCCTCGAAAGAAATCATTTTATGGAAGGCATTACTGCTTTAGAACGAAGATGGAATAAGTGCGTAGAAGTTCACGGAGACTATGTTGAAAAATAAAATTAATTTTATCACGTAAAGTAAAGTGTTTTATTATAAGGCTTATCATCCCGCCCTCTTACAATTGTTCATTTGAATAGACTTCCACATCAGAAAAAACCCTTTAAATAATAGTAGCATAAACAAAACTATTTATTTCTATATGCAATTTTTTTTTTATAATACCTATTTTCTCAGTGGAGCTGTAGTATAAACTACTGGAGTTTACTGGCTCATATTATGCCAAGCTAGCTTTATAAAGCTAAAAATAAAAACTGTTCAGGCGCTTTATAATGTGTCGGATATGAAAGTTAAAAGATATTATCGCTCTGCAGGCTGTCCGTAGCTCGGAGTATCAGCCTGTTCCTTTTTTTCTTTGTACTAAATTTCCTTGAGTTGGTAAACTGTAGGTGTACTTACAAAAACCCCTTTTATTAAAGAAAAGTTAAGAGATTTGGTAGGCGATATATATAAATAATTATTTTAGGAAAAAATATACCTTCTTACTTATATTTATGACATTGAAGCTTAAATATATAGTATATAGGTATGTCAGCTTATTGCAAAAAATGCCAAAAAAAATGTTTTCATGCGTACTTATACATTATTTTTACGTTACAGAATTACCCAATCATTAAGTAAATAGGTATCACCGTTTTCAATGAATCTTCTTTCATAAGACGCGTTAATTAATTTAATTTTGATTTTCTTTGACATTTGTGGATCATTTGTGGATCTGTGTTAAATGTGAAGCGGTTAAAAGTGAATGTTAAACATATTAAAAGGGTTACTTCAAAAGGCATGAAAGTTAAATTTTACTTTCGTTAATGTAATTATCATTATAATTCAATGATCAGCTTGGGCTGTAGCTTGGTTATATTTGTACGTTATTTAAGTATTCATTGTTTATTTTATTGACGTTTCGGATAACCAAGGGGAATATAAAGGGATAACACGTCATTTCTATGCTGTAAAATTCATACGAGAATATAAAATTCTTGTAATATTTTTGAAATTTGTCCACATCCTCTCCGATTTTACACACGAAGGTAGTGATTCAGTTGAGTTTTGATGAACCTCATGGCAGTCAATGCGGCATTATCAATTATACCAATTATACAGTTATATCAATTGTATGCATAAAATAATAAAATCAAAAAATAGCCTAAATCTTCACTGTTTAAACTTATGAAACATATATATTTGACATTCTTTCTTATATAGTTGAAAGTTTGCTTTGAAAATGCTAAAACATATTATACAGAATTTTTTAATATTTTTTTTACTTTTATTTGCAACCCGTTTTCAGTGCTCGGTATGTGCTTGACTTGAAACTCTCGAAGAGAACTTTAAATAACTATTGAAGCCTTCTCTATCTCCAGGTAGAAACAAAGAGGCTAATAATTGAAAAGTTTTATTGGCACAAATATTTGAGCTCAATGAAATAATTTGTTTTGACAAACCCCCGGTCGGGCTAATTAATATTAATTTCTCAGTCTAACGACAGATGACTGTTACGGAAACTTGTTGAAATGAAAAAAGTATAGAAAAATTAAAATAATAAAAGCAATGAAACAACTACTCCATTCAAATTTGGATCACAACGAGTTTTACTACTGTAAGAATAGTTGGTGCAAAATTTTGTCGCCTTCATTACACCGTCATTGTTTCCGTTCAGACGGGAGACTATCTATTTTATTCCGGACCTTTGTTCTCTTTATCCTTTTAAACCCTGAGACTGCTCTGATTCCGTTTTGTGATCGCTTAGCAAGTTGAAGTTGGGGTCAGTTTGTTCTTCGTCAACATTGTTAAATCAACCGTTGGGTGCTTTTAGTCTTTGTCTTTATGCCCTTTTGATTTTCGAGAAACGAATGAGATTTTGTGAAATATGGACAAGTGATTAGGCTCATCTGATGTTAAGTGATTACCGCCACCCATGGTTAAAACCTCACATAATCATTATACAACATACTTCTACGTGAATTGTCATTAATTTTGAGATTTTTAATTGAAGTAAACTATTTAACGTAACATAAGTTTTTTCTGTTACCTCTTAATCTCGATGACATCGTTAAATTGTCTTATTATTTTATGCAAAAACTGTGAGATTCAAAATAACCTATGTTGTTTATAAACATTAATCGTATAAATAGTATATAATAATCATGCCAAATATGACTTTGAAAAAGGGGCTGCTTGTACAACTCACAGCTTAAACAAATTAAATTCAGATAAAAAAAAAAAAAAAACAAAATGCAAATTTAGAACAAGAATTAGAACAAAAATTAGAATGAGCTGCCGTTACAGACATCTTCTTGAATTTTCAACACTAATCAGTAGCACCACGTAACTATCATCTAAAAAAGATAGTCTGTGTAGTACTGCTAAAAAGTAGCAGTACCTACACTCGGACTGGCAAGACCATTAGAAGATCACGAAATGACAAGCCAATTGCACAATAATTGTACGATGACATAGTGAACACGATGTTAAGAAATAAACATCTGGCGGATGTTCAGGCCCGTAACGGGCTTCAGGAAATTCATCACAACTATGTGTCTGATGTTGTTAATGTTGTTGCATAAATAAAATAGGTACTTGCTTAGGAGATTTCATTTGCTGCTCTTTTTAAGATAAAAAATTTAAGATTTTGTTATTTCATTGCAGTTTAAAAATTCGATTAGGTATAAAAATTTTATAAAAAGATTTAATAACCCAATTTTAAAATAACATTTTACTTTTTGTTTACCGTTTGACTTTGAACGTATCATAAGTTTGCACAGAGCCATTTTTTTACACTTAAGTACTGAACATATATGTTTGCTTTCAAGAATTGATATAATTAAAGTATTTGCTTTATAATTTTCATGATTATATTAGAAGGGTTTTGACATCGTGTTATAAGAATTCCTCCGAAAATATTTATCGCCAAATGTTAAATATTGCTTTACGTTCTTTGTCCTATTTTTGTATTAAATATAGTGTTTGAAGAAAATTATTTTTATTTTTCAACCGAGTAATTTTTTCAATGTTTAGGACTCTTTCATTTCATTACTTTTCATAAAAGTTCTTTTTAATTTAATGTCTTCAAGTGCTTTAACTACTATTTGTGTCTTTAACACCTCTTTTAACTCTATTCACTAACCTCCATAGTTAGGTCTTACTCTTTTGTCGTAACTTATACTAAATGAGTCCAAAATAGCCGATATATTGACGTCTCCGAACATGCCACCACCACCGGCGCCCCTGTAAAACAAACAAATCTTTATTTATTAAATGTTACTCGGAGAATTGCAGTTACTCGGAGTCCAACACAAATATTATACGGTGGAAAGTTTATAATGGCTTAAACTCCCAACATAATTAGCGGGCATGAAACATTAATATATCGGATAAACATTAGCTGTACGTAAATGTAAAAGAAGAAGGGCAGTGACCCTGCCGAATCAGGAAGCAAATTAATGACCATACCTAGGGCTGATTGATATAAATAATTGTTGACTGGGAAAGTTTCTTAATTACTTCCTTGACCTGAATATGAATGAAATAAATTTTGGCGTCTTAAAATTTTACCTTTTATTTTACTGATAACCATAACTATTCTTAAAGAAATTAAGTCTCACAATGATACACTCTAACAGTGTGGACTGTAGTAGCCTACGAGTCAGTCCCTTGCCTCTTCAATAAAGGGTTAATAACAATATTTTCTTCAGTTAATTTTAACACAACCGTATTGGTTCCTACGTGTAACCTGTAGAGGTTTGTTTTGTGGGCAATTTAATTTTAAATAAGTTCTTATGTACTTGTGTATATATATATATATATATATATATATATATATATATATATATATATATATATATAAGTATATATATATATATATATATATATATATATAGTATATATTCCCTTTTCCATAACTTGTTTGATCCAGCAAAATTAAAAGGGTACTTTGTTGATCTACCTTTCTATGCAAATTTCTTTGCCCTTAAGCTTTACTTTAAAGGCCGGAAAGCATATATTTGAACAGCGTATTGTGTCGCTTAGACATATTTCTAAATTCAGCAATATACTCTAACCGTTGTTTTATACTTTTCCAAAGTATTTGTAAGGCTCCGCGTAACGGTTTTTTGTCAGGAACTTTTTAAACATTTCTTGATCCCTGCGAGCGCGCATACGCAGCTCGACGTCAGTGTTCGTAAAATTAATTCCACAGTGTTTGTAATAAGAACTGAATTTCTATGTACATTTTCTATTGAGTAAACTGTTACTATATGTCGAATATAATAACGTAGATAAATATAATTGACAAAGTGATGCTTATACCCTATTTCTTATTAATTAGTTTACCATAGGATGCTAGTGAATAAATAATTTAATATTGTAGATATTATCGCTTGATATTAATGAATCCTTGGGACATTATCAAAATACCTACATACTATAAAGTGTATAGTTTTGTTGTTATGCTTGTTAGCACATGCAGCCTGTATTAGTTTGATTGAGGTGAAGCCCAAAATGCTGTACTTCTAATGTATGTATCATACAACTATCCCGATGTATGTATCATACATTTAATAAAAATTTAACTGATTGTTGTTTGTACATAGAAGATATTTGAGAAAAACCATTATTAGGGGCCTTTATCAACGCAGTAGAACCCAAAACAATTATAGTTAAAATTATTGTCTGTTTATCTGTTTGTCTGTGTGCTCTAACTTGGCTAATACGGCGTTTCCGATTTCAGTGCAACTCTTTTACAAATGCATTCTAGTAAGCTTCTCTTAACATTTATTGTTAGTTTTATTTAAGTCGGATGATAAATAAAATAGTTATATCAACTTAAAGAACCACATTGTAGATTTGTGCGATGAAACTATAGTTAACTATGGTCTGTACAATGATGGTTTATATAAAGTTAAAAAAAACGTCCAAGTGCGAGTTGGAGTTGGGCACGAAGGGTTCCATAGGTATTTTTAAGCACGATATAATGTGCGGGCGAAGCCGCGGGCGCAAGCTAGTTGTACAATATATTGCTACTATTGCACTAGGAAGCGGATCAACAACGGTCGCAATGTAATGAGACAAATGATGTAGTGTGAAAATTTCTTTAAAGAGACGAGGATGACAATATTTTAGTTTAATTTTAACTGTTAAATTTCTTTACAAGTCATTGCTCAACTCATTATCAAATATGAGTTTGGTTACAAGATAATAAATTATTATTATTTATTATGTAATCAATAGTGTTATTTAAGCTAGTGCTATTCAGTGGGTTAAAGTTAGATTAGTTAAGAGATAATGTGCGATTTATCGGACAAATGTTTACATCAAAAGGGACTCTAAAAGATTATTTTAACCAAATAAAATAGAATATTAACGAATAAAAAATATAGTTCTTTCTAGACACATGAATAAATAATAATAGGACGAAAAAAAAATTAAGATTATTTCTATGTAGTCTAACCCAGAATATTTTTGTCAGTTCTTGAAAGAGTTTAGAAAAGATTCTAATTTTTCATTGTTTTATTACCAATCTAAGGCATTGAAATATGAAAAACGTTAATAAATCAATCAAGATTTTTTTAAATTTTTTGATTATTCTGTTCCTTTAAAAAAATTACTTGAATTGTAATTATTATAAATAAATACATAGTTTAAAAGATTTTCAATTTTTTCCTTTTAGGAATATGATGGTTAACGAAAATATGACATTTAAAAAAAAAATTTCACTGCTAAAAACGCTTTTTCTAAATTACATTTTTTGTTGCTTAGTGTTTACATTAAGGAACCATTTTAATAAAATCATAATTTATCACGTTGTTACATTAAAAAAATTATAATTTAATTCATTTTTTATTTGGTTTTGTGAACAGACGCTTGTTCATAAACAAACGAATTACGAAAAATTTTGTTTATTATTTTTCTGTTTTTTATATAATTTTTAAAATTATTGTACACTTGGACTTGTTGTTACCTTTCAGGTATTCTCCATTGCTATTAAAATTACTTATAAACTATTGAAGATACGACTAGGACACTCCAAGTCTTATTTATTCTTCAACATTATTTTTTAAATATTGAAGTAGAAGTACATTCATTTTATACGTGAATTAAATAATTAACAGTTGAGTATTGATACCGATTACCGAGATATTGATTAATTATTATATGTAAATTCTTAAATAATCCATCACGCGAGCAACGAATTTACATTAAAATATAATGTTGCACGTGAATCAGAAAAGTGCGCGAGCGCTAGATATTGCTGGCCCTTTAAAGCATGTATTTCAACAAATATCACATTCACGAGATACAGTAATTCTTCTTAATAAGTAGGCACTGACGTAAAGTGATGATCTCAACCAATGAATGCTGCTGTGATCTGTGATTCGTCCGTTTGAATTGATCAAATAAGTACGGAGTGGATTTGTATAAATTGTAGCTACTTTCAAAAAGATATTGACGAGAAGTTGTTGATCCGAATGGAGCCACTAAATGATATACATATGGTATTGGATCAACAAATTTGAGCGGATTAACAAAAAACTGATCATACGTAACGCTGGATCAAACAACTCCTATAACGGATAATATATATATATGTATAAAGATAGATAGATAGATAAATACACTATATAAATATCATGTATTCTTTTCTTAGACTGATTCCTTTCCCGACTCTTAAGATACCGTATTTAAGTTTCTTTGCGTGAACTGAAATCAAATACTTTCGCGTTTATAACATAAGGATATACTATACTATCTACTTACTACTAAAAATAACAAGCTAGGCTTAAATTTTATTACATCCAGCTGAAGCAAATTCAACGAGTATATATTAACTGGAAAGCTTTAAAATTATAATCTTTAAATATATTGTAAATTTTACTAATGCATAAAGAATACTAATGCATAGTTGCGAAGTTGGACTGCATCAAATCAATAGCGCTGTCGGAATGTTCCTTTGGCGTGCCGCTTTGGAAGCCAATGGACTAAGAAAATGTCATTTTATATATTGTTATTCCGTTGCTTATATTTGCAATCGGTCCCGTAGCAGGAATAAAATATTTTTTTAATAGCTCTCTGACTTAGTATAGTAAGAATGAATGTATTTATAGAAATAAAATTAAGGTTCGGCGTATTTTCACGATTAAGAGAAGAAACGAATAACTTTAAATCCTCGTTTTCGACCTATGCACCATTTATTATTCATTATTCATTAACACTCATTATTCATCATTTGCATGTGAATTATTAGATTGCGTTATAATACGTCCCATTAAGTATTAAACATAAAGTTGACGCCTCTATATTTTCATCTGCTAGGCAAAGGTCTCCTCTGTACAGAGATTATTAGGGCATACTGCACCACGAGACCCCACTGCGGATTGGCGGACTTCGCATATTTTTCGAAAGATTTATTTCTATTATATCGAAAATACCCAGGATTCCTAGCGCTGTTTTCCTTCACTGCCGAGCACGTGATCCTCAAATTATTATGTATTATTAAAATTAATTAATTAGGTAGTACTATTTAAATATATGGAGATAATATTGAAATTGAATTCTTCTAATTTGATTAAGAACAATTTTATTAAGAAATCTTGTGAAAAAAAATTCTTCCAAAATCTTTTATAGATAGTACTGAAGTTTTGAAAACTGTAGAGTAACCTTCTTTCTAATGTTCGAAAGTGATGTAAGCATAGAAACTTACTCTAAGGACTTATAAGATAATTTGAGATGATTTGTCGTTTTATCTAAACTTGTTAAAATATTTAATTACGAGTACATGGGAGTTCCAAACTCTTTATGATCGGCATAACGTTTGTATCATTTCTAGTGTTGCGTCTATCATTAGCCACCCGTGAATTTCATGTTCCAGAAATCCTTTAACCTCACTCTTTGATACGAAATCCATAATACCTGTATGTAATCTTCTCTATACATAAAAATTAATCGCTGAATATGTTGCTAAGCGCAATTCTCGAGACCAACTGTACCGATTTCACTTATTCTTTTTTTATAATATTCCTTGAAGTACGAAGATGGTTCTTACGGAGAGAAAAGTTTCAAAAATTGCCTGAAAATGAAATATTAGTAATAATACTTAAAAGTAAATTTGAACTTTAATACCATATCATAAAGCTTATGTGTTAGTGGAGCGGTTTTGGGAAGGCAAAACAAGTGAGTGATTATGGTAAAATGTCACTTGAAATGTAAACGTCCCTTTGCTGTGCATAGTA